CACTGACAGTCGCGGACCCCCGCAGGGGCTCGCTGCCAGTCGGCTTTGACTCGATGGCAGTGACTGTGGTCTTTGGAGTAGTGGTTATAGGCGTTGAGTTGCTAACCTCAAGGTCAGCGGTTCGAAACCCCTAGCCGCTCCGCAGGAGACAGGACTTTCGTCTAGTTACAGACTCGGAAACTCACAGGTTCTACCTCCCCTGTCTTGTAGGGGTCCCTCGATTGCAGCGAGATGGGTCTGTCCCGCAAGGCCCCTGTGCTCGGCAGCCAGAAAGACCCAGCGTGCACTCTTGCTGTGAAGGCCGGGGAAGCTGTGTACTCAGTTTCCTTAGAACATGTTCGGGTGCCTTATTATAATCAAGGGGACCCCTCCCCCCTCAAACCGAGCCACTGCGTGATAAAAGATGCGCCTACAGGAGAGCACCGTCACATTTATCAACGAATAGAAATGGCTGCTGGAATAATACAAGAAAATAATTGTATTTGCTACCAAGGTTTCAGAAGGTTCATGGGCAAGATGAAGAGGGAATGGGATTTTTCCAACGAAGTTTTGGAAGCCCCCGCGGTGTCTCCGCGGCCCGCTGTTTACGCAGTGGCAGAGTCTTGAAAGAAAATGGATTTTTCCTGGATGGAGTTTGCACTCCACCCACACTTGGAAAGGCCCGTGAAACTCGGCTTGCCAGTTGGTGGGGATAATGAACAGGAATCCAGCCATGTTACAAGGGTTTGGGTTTGGATTTGGGGTGAGGGGTGGGGGTGGCTGTGCGGTTGATATTTTGACACAATCAGGTCATGGAGTATTGGAATGGGCAGAAAAAACGAGTCCCTGGCAAGCCATAAAGTAACATAACTTGAACTAGCGGGCTGGCAGTGGGAGCTGCGAGGGGCAGCATTGCGGAGACTCGGGCTTGGCGATTCTGTGGTGCAGGTTGGGAGCCAAGACAGGGTGAGATGGAAAATGGGACCTGGAGGACTGGAAGAGTAGAGGAACGCCAGGAAAAGGAATAGATTTTGAGAAAGATGAGTTTTCTTAATCAGTCTACTTGTTAGCTTCAGGCAATGATTTGAGAACTCACAAACATTTAATTCGCTGGGTACCTAAAAGTTGATCAGGCGAATGAAGTGTGCTAGGTACTCTAGGTATTTAAAGCAACAGCCCAGCAACCCCAAACCAAAACAATCACAACAACCACTCAGACTTGCAGGGCTTTCTTTTCCACAGTTAGCCAAGAGTTGACCAGCCAGCACGTGGCTTGGGGAGCTCGTTTTATTCCCATCCAGGAGTTAGCTGTACTGGATATTCTTGAACGCCGTGGTCATTCATTTACTGAACCATGGAAATCCACGTGTTGTCACCGGTGTATTGGTGGATGCAAATGTGAATTCTCACCCTGGGGCTGAACCAACTGATGGAACTGGTTCAAAGTCCTGGTTTCCCATTTTCAGTACTGTTTGACCTCTCACATTAATGACATTGGCACTTTGCCCTGTGCCTTTAAAAACAGACAAGTCACCCTTACTGTCAACAAACCTGCATGGACTTTATTGGCATTTGTCGGCCTTCCAGCTCTAATCTCTTCTTCGGTAAAGTCAGTGTCTCCATTAATTCACAGTCATTTCTCTCCGGCTGCTTGCAGTGAAATGCCTGTGCAGCTCAGCTGTGGTGTTGCTTTTGGTGTTTGGTTATTGTGTTTCTTCTTGACCTTTAGATTGTTGTATTTGACACTGCTGACCCCTCTGCCCTTGAACCTCCTGGTTTACTGCAGTGGTCCATGTGAATCCATTTCTTTTAGACTATTTAAAAAACCATCCACATTGGTCTAGTTTGGGACCTGCTTGTGCTCAGATTCACTCCTCCTCCTCCTCCTCCTCTGCTTCCTCTCCATTGCCCTGGGACTGCCCTTTGCCAGTTGTTTTTCAGATTCCAGAGTCAGTCCACTCCTGACTGGAGTCCTTTGCTGGAAGGCCCGGAGCAGAGTGGAAAATCGGAGGGGGAAGCCAGAATAGTGTTTGTCTCGCTCGCTCTGCCTGCCTTAGGCGGGATTTTGGGCAGTGGCTGCTTTTCCTCAGAGGTTCTGCTATTTGTAGACAACCCTCTTTTTTAACTTCCTTTCCATCGTTGCTGTAGTAGCTATACCTTGCATTGCAATCTGAAAGGTCAGCAGTTCGAAACCACTAGTTGTTCAGAGGGAGAAAAATGGGGCTTTCTACTCCAGTAATTAGTCTCAGAAACGATCCATCAGAAACAGTTCTGTCCACTCTATGGCAATGGGTTTGTTTCCCCCTCCCCGTTGCCCCAATATTTTAAGCATATTTATTGTCTTGTTGCTAATTTCTGTACTGCCTACCTGTCTGCTGTTCCCAGCATTTCTGTAAGGTGTTTATTTAATTCTCTGGCATTCCCTTCTCTGTTTCAAACAGGAGTTTGGGGATGGGGCAAGTAGTTACAAGCTCAGCTACTAACTGATTGGTGGTTCAAGTCTACCCTGTGGCAGCTGGGAAGAAACTGCTGGAAAACCAGTCACTAACATAGCAGTTCTACTCGGAGATGATTCTTGGGTCACATGAGTGGGAAGGGGCTTGAAAGTGACTGTCTTTTTGTTTTTTTGAAACAAATGTTTGTGTTTTCTAGTGGAATCCAAATGGACACCTACATTGTGTTTGCTCCCTTCCCACTGCCTTCCTTGGCCTCCCTTACAGAGGCCAGAAGAAAAGCGGTCAGCAGGGTGTGGTGCTCAGGCAGGCACAGGTAGTCATCTGATGCACAGTAATGGGAGACTGAAGGGGTCCTGTGATATCCGAGGGGACCCCCAAAACACCCCACCTGGATTTCCCCCCCAAAACTATGTATTTAAATTATTATTTACAAAACAACCTGTCACCTTCAAAGTACTCTTCATTACACATAATGCATTTGTCAAATCTGATTCCATTCTTGGAGACAGTTTTCAAACTTATCTCTTTGGATGGCTGACAGCATCTCCCTCATTTTGTTCTTCACTTCTTTTATGAGGTCAAATCGCTGTCCTTTCATATCCCTCTTCATTCGTGGAAACAAAAAGAATTCACACGAGTGAAGTCAGGTGAGTAAGGTGTATGGGCCAAGCGAGGCATGCTCTTTGTTGCCCCAAACTGGCACATTGAGATGACTGCGTGAGCAGGTGTGTTGTCATAGTGGCAAAACCGTCTGCCACAAATCAGGCCTTTTTGTTGTACACTGTTACCCTATCTTTTCAGAATCTCTAAAAGGAAAGCTTGATTAACGTCTGACCTGGTGGAACACACTCCAAATGCACTATTCCCCTCACATCACATCCGGGTTTATTTTGGTACCCCTTAGTAAAATCAGTTGAACTTAGTGACTGATTGAGAGTAGTTCCTATAACTTTGAGGGCCCAGCCTATGGCGTGCAAGTAACCTGTTTCCCTGAAAATAAGACAGTGTCTTATATTAAATTTTGCTCCCAAATAAGCACTAGGTCTTATTTTCAGGAGATATCTTATTTTTCCATGAAGAATACGGTACAAATTTATTGTTGAACAACAAAAAAGGAAATTTATTACCTGTATACAGTAGTTGTCATCACAAACCAGCATAACCAGACAAACTGAATCCTACGGTATCAAGAATGTCTAATTGTGAGTCAGCAGACTCCGTCAGGGCAGAGTGAGCAGCAGATGGCAGTTTGTCTGGCAGCGGCGCGGGCTCTCTGATTAAAAGGGACCTCGCACTTCCTGTCTGCTCGGGCAGAGCTGCGGCCAACAGCGAGCTGTGCAGCGGCGCCCACCGCTACAGTCCAGAGTCCAGAGTTACTGTAGCTTCGGGGGGCCTTATTATCCAGGAGGCCTTATTATTGGGGAGGTCTTATTTTCGGGGATGCCTTACTTTTGGGGAAACACAGTAGATAGAGGAGGTTTTTACTTAGGACAGGGGATGTGGGAGGAGGGGCAGATTTGGGGGTGCGTAGGAAATGATGAGTTGAAGTTTGGACTTAGGTTCGGTGTTGATCAGTTGGATGAAAGCTTCTGAAATGTAGAACTGGAATTGGTAGATTTGGGACTCATCAGCCTTAGATGGTAGTGGAAACCCCATAAAGGGTGAACTTATCCAGGTTGAGTGTGTAGAAGGGGGAGGGGAATAGGTTTAGCATGGGGTGCTTTTGGGGTTTTTCAGTATTTCCCTGATAGGCAGAGCAAGAAGGAATCTTGTTTCTATTTCTAAATTGGGAAGAGAAAGACAACAGAGAACAATGCCCCCTCTAGTACAACCACAGGATTGTCTTATACTGGAGGCCAATAAGAATGAACATTCTCGTAGGCTTTGCACACACTACCTTAGCTCATGTTCCCAACTACTTATAGGGAGGGTATTTGAGATAACAAAGGCAAAGCAAGTTCAAGTTGAGTCCTTCAGAGGCATACTGGAAGAGCAGGTGCCGCTTGTCACTTGGTGGGGCTACCTGGGTACTTATTGGTGGGGCTAAAGAACGTGGTAACACTTGCCTGAACAAGGCAGTAGCCAGGGCTGAGGGCCAGTGAGGCACAGCTAAGAAGGAACTATCCTGCTCAAAGAACTGTATCCTGAGCATTCCTGAACTTGAATTGGAACCCATTACTTCTCTAATAAACCCCATAATCCTTAGTACTTACTATGAGTTCTTTGTAAATTGCTGCAAATTATCCAATTGAGCAGAGGTGTACAGAGTGCAGGAAAAGGGACTGTTGGTGTCAAAACTGTAAAAAGGTTTGAGGTGAAGGCATGTCTGATGTCTACCTCATAGAAATCAGCCTTGTGATGGTAGGTCAGGTGCCTCCAACACAGCATTCTACAAGGGTGCATAGCTGACACAGAGGGCCACTTCTACTGAGCACATGCACTTGAACCTTGTCTACGGGGCGTGTGCTAGTCTGGGCCAGTGCTGTATGCTCTCACAAGTAGTCTAGAAAAAGTAATACAAACTTCCCTAATTAATGACACAGCTGTAAGAACAAATATTGACAGATGGCAGGTACATTTTACTTCAAGGTACACAGATAGCATCAAGTGACACATTGTGATCTGTTAATATTTGCTGCTGTAACAACGATGAGAAATACAACTTTCCTCTAGTTCCTAAAAGTTTCCTCCCCGCTCCCACTACCATGACTCGAATTCGACCTTGCAAGTCTGGCTAGACCAGAGGATGTACACTGGTACAGATAGGAACTGAAAATCCAGGGAATCCAGGGCGGATGAGCCCTACAGGACCAGTGGTGTGAGTGGCGAAACAGGGAGGGTAAAGGGAGAATGGGTAGGAAAGAGGGAACCGATTACAAGGAACTGTGTGTGACCTCCTCCCTGGGGGACAGACAACCAAAAAGTGGGTAAAGGGAGACGTCGGACAGGGCAAGATATGACAAAATACCCATTTATAAACTATCAAGGGCTCATGAGGGAGGGGGGAGCGGGGAGGGAGGGGAAAAATGAGGACCTAATGTCGGGGGTTTAAGTGGAGAGAAAATGTTTTGAGAATGATGTACAAATGCGCTTTACACAATTGATGTGTGTATGGATTGGGATAACAGTTGTATGAGCCCCTAATAAAATGTTTAAAAAAAATTTTGCTGCATGTGTAAGGTGAAGTTAAAATCTTTTCATAATTCCTCTGTGAACTTCTTACCCAATTCTGTTTTAGGAATATATCCACAAGTACTTTACACATTTCTGCTCCTTTATCATGCTACTTGGGTATAGGGGCCATGTTTTTTAAAAATCTCAAATTTCCCATCGTTTTTCCCCCCTCTTTTGTAAATGTTCTCAACAGGTCTGCTGAACAGAAGGAGCAGTAGTTGTTTGTTTTTTTTTTCCCCCTTTTCTTTTGTTTTTAAAAATCATTTTATTGGGGGCTGGTACAACTCTTATCACAATCCATCCATCCATCCATTGTGTCAAGCACATTTGTACATTTGTTGCCAACATCATTCTCAAAACATTTGCCTTCTACTTGAGCCCTGGTATCAGCTCCTCATCCCCCCCTCTCCATCTCTTCCCCACGAACCCTTGATAACCTATTCTTATTTTGTCATGTCCTGCTCTGTCTGACGTCTCCCTTCACCCACTTTTCGGTTGTCCGTGCCGAAGCCAGGTTTTATGTTGCTCATTTTTCCTCCCAAAGACTGTAAGGTTATTTCTTTGGGGCTGGCTTAAACATTTGTGATAACGGTGGTTGTGGGTTGTTTTGTTTTTTTGTGTGCAAATGAGTGCTAAATTCTTATAGCTAGGTTTTTAAGTGTACTAAGTTTCCACATAAAATCAACAAGTTTCGCTATATGAATGTTGCTAAATGTTCCTAAAATCTATCTAGGAACATATTATTTTTCTTAACCTGCCATTTGCATGTATTTTCATCCAACATCTTTCTAAAAGTCAGTTTGGGGCTATTGTCAAATCTATCTCTAGGCTGTACTTTAAATTGGCATCTCTAGTTGGTTATTTGCACTGAGTCAGGACAAAACAAGTTTCGTTATCTCGTGGTAGAGTAACTAAAATATCGCCAGTAGATGGCTTTCACAAGCAGGTTTATTTATTTTTTTCTACACTTGGGAAGGCTAGCTGCCCAAATCCATGGCACCCACTTAGGGCGGGCTTCTCTGTTGGTTCGCAGTTTAGCGGGGAGATGCTTGTCTCCACAACTGTGGGCCTGATTTTCCCTAGATCTTTAAGTCTGGGCATCCATCTTTCCCTGGACCTAGGCTGCTTCACAGTGCAGGGACCCACGGTTGGTTCAAAGGATAGGCTCCACCTGGCTCTTCTTTCTTGGAGGTAGTACGTCCCTCTTCTCTCTGTTCACTTTCCTCTCCTTCTGCCTCTTATCAAAGGTGTTGCGGACCTCCCACAGGGGAACTCCCAGCACAGTGCAGTAGGGCGCTGATGGGATAAGGTTGTTGTATCCTACCCCACATCCTTATATGAATGCCAAACCACTGAGAATCATGGGCCTGCTAAGTGGACACATGTTTGGGTGGCGTGTTGGGGGATACAACTCAATCCATGACATCGTTTAATATATGAAAAGCTAGGGTCTCAGGTCAAATGTAAAAGTTTTAGAAACCTGTAGAGTTGATTGCTCTAAAAGATGTGTGGGAAGCATGTTTTAAAACAATTGATTAAGATTCGGTTCTAGATATATTTCATTTTTGTCTGTATATGCTTTCACTATGACCTCAAAGGGTAAAACATTTATTCTCTGTTATTTGTTCTGTAAATAGCCTAACTTCAGATCAATGGTGTCTTTGAACTATGGCCTATATTTCCAGTTTGTTTTTGTTGGCATTTGTTGATAAGGATGGAATGGAACAAAGAGTTACAGGGGAAAGATATTTACTTTCATATAAAAAAGTTTATGTGTAACAAATTTTATGTTTTCCTGTAAAAGGGTTTATAGTCACATAAGGTGAGTTTGCTTTGTATAAATCAGACATTTTTTGGGGTAAATACAGAGGGAGAAAACAATTTTCACTTAAATTTTATATGGACATACAAACTCACACTCCGTGCCATCAGGTTGTGCTGACTCACAGTGAGTGACCCTGTAGGACAGGGGAGAACTCCCCCCATCCCCAGTTTCTGAGACTGGCAACTCTTTATGGAAGTAGAAAGCCCCATCGTTCTCCCAAGGAGCGGCTGGTGGTTTTGAACTGCTGATCTTGAGGATCACAGCTCAATGTGTAACCACTAGGGCTCCTTGTAGACATACAAGGGGACTTCAGAACGTTCTTAGAAAATGGAATTGAAAAATCATGGAATTTTCCACAAATGATTTGACATCCCTCGTGTGTGTTTATGGCTGTGTATGTGTTTAAAGAAATGAGAATATTGTGGCAATCTAAAATTAATTTTGAATTTAGATTTAACTTAGAATTATATTTTATAAAGTTTATACTTTAAAAGGGCTTAGAAACTTTAAGATGTACTATAAAGTTGTAGATTTTCTTATTATAAATGATACTCATTGTAGAAAATATAGAAATAAAATTTTTTTAAAAATCATTACTACCACAGAATATAAAATGATACTCATATTTTCTGCATTGTAATGTTAAAACATTTATATTTCAGGAAGTAAGATATATGAAGCGCAGTTATGTAGCAAAACCTACATTGAATGTAAGTATACATGTAAATTGTGCTCTAATTTTTTAATGAACTTAATACAAATGCATGTACTTATGATGTGGATAAATGGGAATAGTTAATTATTGAAACACGAATTTAAACTTTCAGATTAACATAACCATTTTAGTCTAGTTTCCTGCCTGATTCCTGTTTCTTTACCCTACCCTGTTGCAAAACAGATCTAAAGCTGGGCAGTCTTTCCTCTCAGGGACCTTCATGGCGCTGTATGCAGCGCAGAGGCAGCAGCGGGGCAAGAAGAGGGATTTGGATGGGGTTGAGGGCTAGACCTCTCAGAGGGATCCTCTTTGTTGATCGGGTTTCTAAAGTACCAGTATATATCCTAGTATAAGCTGACCCAAATATAAGTCGAGGCACCTAATTTTACCACAAAAACTGCATTAAAAATGTGCTGAAAAACTCAGCTTATATATGAGTATATACGGTAACACAATAATCTTCTACCAAAAACCTTAGGGGCTTTGTTGGCTAAGGTTGTTACTTTTAAGGAGTTAACTAGGTTAGGATGACCATTTCTAATGACCATTTCATTAAAAAAACAACAACAAAGTTTCTGTTAGGTCTTAAGGTACTAGCACAGATGGAGGTTATTTTAATCTCTGGTGACTAGTCATTCAAAAAAGTTTCTTAGATAATTTTTAATTAAAGAATTGGGTGACGTATTTCACTTTGATTGGTAGGAGGTGGTCATCGTAAGTGCCGTAAGAACACCCATTGGATCTTTCCTAAGCAGTCTTTCCTCACTGCCAGCAACTAGACTTGGCTCCATTGCAATTGAGGGAGCCCTTGGAAAAGCAGGTCAGTAGTTGCTTGGCTTTTTGTTTTGTGGGGGAAACATGATTCAAGGGGACAAATATTTATTTTATACTACATTCCTATCACTCAGAAATGACTTATTGCACATTTCTGAATTCCCTAGGAAAGAATTCTTTGTTACAAGGAGTTGGGAATAAAACTCAACTGACAAGAAGAAACCCTTGAGTAGGTATTCATTAATTATGAACAGAATAATAAAAATAAATGCATTTATTTTCTTCCAAGGAATCCCAAAAGAAGAAGTGAAAGAAGTATACATGGGTAATGTTATACAAGGAGGTGCAGGACAAGCCCCTACCAGGCAGGCAGCGCTGGGTGCAGGTAACAAGACTCTGACAGCTTTTATACTGATTGACATGATAAAATGGAGATTCCTTCACCGTAATATTAAATGCTTAATTTAACCAACTCGACTTATATTAGCAAGTGTTTCTGATTCTAGTTTAAATGCGCTTTAATTAATTAGTTTAGCTATCATTCTGCAGTTGTGTGTGAAAAGTGGTGCTTCGGTTACTTAAGGGTTTGCCTTCCTCCTCTTGCTTGTAGGCTTGGCTGTTTCTACTCCATGCACCACCATAAATAAAGTCTGTGCTTCAGGAATGAAAGCCATCATGATGGCATCTCAGAACCTCATGTGTGGACATCAGGTAAGGAGCAGGTTCCTTTCCATTTTATCATTAAAACAAGGTCCAGTGCTAAAGCCACTGAATATCGAGCACATCCATGTTTTAGCAGCAAGATGCTTGTTCATTGGTTACATGGTGTGTCTCACTTAGGACATCTGTGTATGCTTTCCATTTGAAGGAAGAAAGCCTAAGTTTCTTGTGTTCAACAAGATTTTTGGTCTTGAGAATAACTCTGGGAACCTGTCTTTTCAGATTTGGGGTATTATTATTTTTAGTCACAAATTCTACATTTGCCAGACTATGAAGCACTTATTATACATGAGACTATAGTGCTAGGTCTGGAACACAGTCACCAATTGAGCCCAGGGTGGATGACTGGTTCTTCATTTCTACACGCCACGCTTAGTCTTCAGATAGTTCAGGCTTTCTGTTGGCCATGTAGCCAGATGATTTGGTTTCGAATCCTAGTTCTGCTTCTTATTGCCGTTGTACCGACTCTGACAGCCACTGGGGAATTTTTTGAATCACAAGACCAGTCTTAGATCAATGTATCTGTTGCTCTTTAGTAAATGCAGTTCGCACATTTAAATGCTTACAATTAGTATTATTTGATTCATTGTGCATGTATACTTTTCTGACTTCTATGAATACAAGGAATTACCTTGTTGAATATTTGGGGAATTTGGTGTTTTTTTTTCATTTTATTTGAGGAATTTTTATCAATTTTATTTTAATACGAAGAATTGCCTTCTTCAGAAAATACTATTTCAAGATAAGGTATTGAAACATCGATCTGAACTAATGGGATCTTCTGTATTTCAGAAAAGACAAGATATTTGAGTTTCATTGGTTATTCCTGATTATAGGCAGTGAGAAAATATCTTTGGCTTATTTTTTTATTAATATTGATACTAATAGTTTACCATATATACTTGTGTATAAGTTGAGTTTTTCAGCACATTTTTAATGCGGTTTTTGTGGTAAAATTAAGTGCCTCGGCTAATACTCTGGCTGGCTCATACTCGAGTATATACGGTATATTAAACTTTTAAATTAGCATATTATTGTGCAGATAAATTTTCTTTTGTTGACTTGAGAAGTAATGACAGGTTTGCACTAATTAAACTTTCATCATATGCCAGGCTTCAATAACAGAAAAAAATTATGACTTTTTTTTTCATCTTAAAGGAGCTTAGTCTAGTAAGAAGATTGAGCAGTAAACACAGATACAACACTGGGCAATTAATACTAACAAAAACATTATGCCATAATTGAGGAATTACACAAAAGTAGGGAAACTGTCCTGAAAAGGGAGGGAAATAAGAAGTCAGGGAAACCATGAAGGTTTGGATTAGTTTTGAGGGAAATATCGACAGTTTGAGTGCTGGTAGATGGCGCCTAGGCTGCAGACAGTGTACTGAATGAGCACGGTGTCTTTGGAAAGCTTTTACTCACTCTCTGTCCCTGAGGTGTAGGTTCAGGCACACGCATTGAGAGACAACGAGACGACAGCTCACCAAAGAAGGATCTTTTTACTCTAGGAGTCTTTTAAGAAGTGACAGGGGGAGAAAAAAAAGTGATCAGAATTACATTCCAGCCAAAGTGACTCAGCTGAGTGTACACGATGCTTCGAAGGAAGGAAGGGTTGTCTGTCCAAAGATCCAGTGGATAACTACCACCGCTGTGGTTCTGTTATGGTAGTAGGATTGTTTCCACATTAGAGATTACTTCTCTAAATCTTTTTGACTCCTAGAATATTAACTTGTTAGCAGCAGGAGTGAAATAAAAAAGGGTCAGAAAGTGAATTAGAATTTCAGAAAATGGTCTTATTTTGAAATAAAAGATGGATTGGAAAGGTTTGTGACATTGTTATTCTCTGAATCTAATTTTCATCATCACATATCTAAGTCCATTTCCTTTCACTGGGAACAAGGCGTGTACTTCCTATATCTGCTATGTAACAAAACATGTTTTAAGAACCCATGTAGATCACTTGCTTGTTGGTAACTATGTAGAGGGTGTGTTTGCAACTGCCTTTTGAATTGACACTGGGCTTGTGTGCTGCCGAGCAGGATGTAATGGTGGCAGGAGGGATGGAGAGCATGTCCAATGTGCCCTTTGTGATGAACAGAGGAGCCACCCCGTATGGTGGAGTCAAGCTTGAAGATTTGATCGTGAAAGATGGCCTAACAGATGTCTACAATAAAATTCATATGGTAACTTTGTTTCCTTAGAGAAATGACACCTGCTTGCAGTACTGCTTGCTTCTTCATAGTATAGGAAGTCCCTTGGTTACAAGCGAGTTCCATCCCTAAGTCTGTAAGTTGAATTTGTGCAGAAGACAAGTAGAGTCAAATGTTCATTTTAGGATATAGTATAGTATGCACTTTCTATGCATAAACATCTTAAAGAAACACTTCGTGATACACTAAAAAACCTTTAACACAGTGGTTCTCAATCTTCCTAATGCCGTGACCCTTAATACAGTTCCTTATGTTGTGGTGACCACCCCCCCCAACATAAACTTATTTTCGTTGCTACTTCATAACTGTAATTTTGCTACTGTTATGAATCGGACGACCCCTGTGGAAGTGTCGTTTGACCCCCAAAGGGGTCGAAACCCATGGGTTGAGACTGTTGCTTTAACATAATACAGCAATGATAGAAATGTGTTCGTGCCCATCACAAAGGAGCACCTGCTCATTATTAGGAAAGACTGTATGTACTTCGATTTCCTAATATAATAGGCTTGATGGGTGAATGATTGGTAAATACTACTGTTTTTAAATTGGATTGGTCATAAGAGTTTCTTAACCCGAGGACTGCCTGTATATGTATTTTGTAAACTGACAAGTGGATTTTAAATGTCGATTCTAGCCGTTCACCTCTGGTAAACAATTCTGCCATGCAACAGTCAAACCATTCCAGCTCTCACAGGTTTCCCTGTACCAGCGTAACTCAGTTGTCACTCCAGTAGGCTATCTGACTTCTCATGACACATTCTGTAAACACTTGTTTTTGAAAGGCCAGTCAAGTGAAAGTTGTCTAGTAGAAAAGAAGTATATCTTAAGGTGCTAAATGTAACCAATATTTAATAGCAATGCAAAGTTAATATATATTTTAAGTTTTCAAAAGTTAATTAGTCTTAAAAATTTCAACTGTTATTAGGGAAACTGTGCTGAGAACACGGCAAAGAAGCTTCATATTTCGCGGGATGAACAGGATACTTATGCTATTAACTCCTACACCAGAAGCAAAGCAGCCTGGGAAGCAGGAAGGTTTGGAAATGAAGTTATTCCTGTCACAATTACAGTAAAAGGTAGAGGGATACTGTTTCAAAGTAGGTTCTAATTTTTGGATGACTTCACATTGTGCTGATTTTGTTAAATGTTTTAATTTAAAATTAGTACATTTTTATCTGCGTTCATGTCAGCTGTGGTGTTAATAAAAGAAAAAGAGAGCTACCAGTTTAGAACAAATTCCAACCCAATTGAAAGATCCACTATTAACTGTGATTTCGAAAAAATGAGAAACGGGCATATTGGAACTTTATTTTTTCACTTTAACTTTATCCTAAATTATTTTTATTAATCTGAAAACAGGAACAGACATGATAGAACACAGATCTTAGATTTGATGAGAAAATTCCCAGAATTAAGCTAAATGGGCCTATAGTAAAATGGAGGGGTCTTTTTTTTTTTTTCCCTCTGAAGGGTTTGATATCTTTTAGAACTCTTTCTCACATAAGTGACAGGTAGCACGCACACGAGCCTAAATTAAAAAGAGTATCTATTGGAAGGCTCCTCGGGCACCTCCCAGAACCGAGACTAGCAGCAGCCAGCCTGTTGAGACCTCAGGGCCCGGATTTGGGGATGGATGAGGTTAGGACATGCCCTCTGGACTCCTTCTCCGTGTGGCATGCCTGTGTACTCTTTCTCAGGCTCTCTAAGTGGCCGCCTCCATCACCACAGTCATACCTATAGAGAGACAGACCTTCCTCATCAGCTTCCGCAGAATATGCAGGAACGACTCCACTTGGTTTCGGTTCCAATCTCCTCCGTGGAACGGTCACCGTGTTTATGGGGACAGAAGACCTGTGGTCAGGAAGGTGGGGTCTGTGATCACAGGAGGCTGAGAGAGGAGATGGGATGTGGCTATACACAAAATTTAAAATCCCATTAAGCTGTTTACCTCCTCTTTAAGATATTATGTCATAGAGGTTATTTATAGGTGGTAGATTGTAGAAGAGAATTTTCTTAGGTTGAGTTGAAGTGCACGTGTGCGCACCCACACGGAGGTACAAGCAACATTGTCATTGATATTTTGCTGAATGAATAATTTTTGTCTTGTGTGGTGACTACGGAATTTTTGCTTTAGGTAAACCTGATGTAGTGGTGAAAGAAGATGAAGAATATAAACGTGTTGATTTTAGCAAAGTTCCCAAGCTGAAGACGGTTTTCCAAAAGGAAAATGGTTAGTTTTAAGAATGAGGCATAAAAAAGGATCAATATAAGTAGATTTGTAAGTGTATATGAATTGCTAAGTAGCATTTACAAAGTCATTGTAGATAACAATCTAGATCTTGGTTAATATCATAAAGGAATATTGTAAATTGAATGAAATTAACAAAATGAATGATATACCTACAAGGTATATTTAAATTTACTTAACAGTTTATACCTCCAGTTTGTAAGTCCCAGGGAAGAGATTTTGCAATATGACTACAGGATTACAGAAGTGTATTTTCATAATTCTAACAGCGTTCACAGCTTTCATTATTTTATAGCTTTATTTACAGTTTACATGTCTCGAAGTTCTGCTCTTAAAATGTTTGTAAATTGTTACTAAAGCTGTAAAAATGCCCTATAGTGTTGAGTGCTCATTGATACTCAACGGAGTGATTCCAGAGAAGACAAGCCTAATTGTAACCCTTAATTGACTAACAGTATTGTTTGCTGTACTCTAGATAAGCAAAGAGGCAGACTCTGGGAAAAAAGATGAACAAGTGGTCCCTATGTTTGAAGAGCCGTGGACCACATGTACCCAGAGTTATGCCTGCATTCCTGGGCTAGCTTCTGTTATGAAAACAAAATATAAGGGCAGGAATTGCTGCACTTTGTAATTTCTCAGACACACAGGAATGCCAGCAGCGTGTTGTTGGCGCTTTGTTCAAAGTGAATCAAATGCATTCAGTATGAAGGAGTATCTTGACTTTGTTTGTGTGGCTTTCAGGCACAGTGACAGCTGCCAACGCTAGCACCCTGAACGACGGAGCCGCTGCCGTGGTTCTGATGACAGCAGATGCGGCCAAGAGGCTCAATGTAAAGCCACTGGCAAGGGTAGCAGGTAGATGTCTGACCTCGCTAACTCCCAAACCTCTGATTTGACTTTCCTCGTTAGGTGTTCAGAGATATAAAACTTAGATGTTCTGGCACTGATTTATTATGTGACTGTGGGCAAGTTCAACCTCCATGAGCCCACTTTCAGCTGTAAAATAGGCCTTGCTTTCTTCACAAGGCATTTGAAACAATCAAGTGCGTGGACATTAAAGTACTTTTAACAACTTACATGTTATTCGATAAAAAGCTTATGACCTCATTTTATTCTTCACTTACATCAGGATCGCTTTCCTTTGGCACTGCTCACTCTATGTACCCATTGTTCGTTTGGGGGCTGCCCTGTGCCATGCTCAGCAGCATGCTTTCCCTCTCCCCACTAACTGCCGGTTGTGACGAGTGGAGAGGTCTCCAGTGTTAAATGCCCTTAGACACAAATTCCTCCAGCCGTGGTTGAAAATGACTGATCATCTACATCAGTCATGTTACATCATCTTCAGAAGGGAACAAATGTATTTACATTCAGCATCATGGCGAGGACACCTGTGTTAATGGCTAACTTGGTTTTGTATATTATGTATAACACTTGTTAGGCATGACTTCAGATACTTGTAATGAAAGATTTTAGCCAGTGGTTTTTTTAAAATTGTTTTTTTTTATAGCATTTGCTGATGCTGCTGTCGAACCTATTGATTTTCCAATTGCACCAGCGTATGCTGTGCCCAAGGTAAGACCACAGCGAGGGGCCACCTTCATTTGCCAACAGGAGGGCCTCAGGCAAAAGCTGGGTGACAATTAGTTTCAAATCTTCCCATTTTGCCCAAATGTAAGAACAAGGTTAATGAAACAAAACAAATGAAAAAGGGGACTAGTGGAGCACCCACACCTCAGCCTCCGTGACCTTGAGACCAGACATAGTTAATAGTGCCCAGCTATCACTGCTGACAGCTCTGAGTGAGGTCTCAAGAGGATGTCCTGAATAGAGGAGGAGGAAAATCACAGGAAAGACCAGGCTTCCTGGCCTCAAGACTGTGGCCCTGCAGCTCCCCTTCAGGCCTGAACTGAACTTGTGCTCATGGCTCAACTTTCAGCTCCAAACAGGCTCATAAATGAGCAGTAGCGCTTGTGAGGTTCACACTCAAAACCACCACACATGATCAGGTGGCTAGCAGTTTTCCAGGGACAAAGCTCACAAGGCAGGAAGGGACAGGGAAGAGGGACAGATGGAAATGGTACACACAGGGAGGAAGCGGGAAGAGGGCGGTTATATTGTGGGGACTTACAGTCAATATCATGAAATAACGAGTATGAAGTGGATGGAAAACCAATTTGTTATGTAAACGTCCACCTAAACCATAGTAAAAAGTTAGAAAAAGAGCACCCCTAAATGCCCGGGCAGTAGATAAACAACATAACGCAAATCCCTTGGGTGACCTTGAGCTGGGGAGGGTGGCGTGGCAAAGAGAAGGACGGAGGTCCCGGTCTGGAAAACAAGGCATCACTCCAAAAGAGGTCCACATCCTGGATGGCACTGGTGGATGATTAGGGTTTAGTATAAGTGGTGGAACTAGAGACAGAAAAGTACTATTTCTGAGTTGCCCATGATATTACAGGAGAAAGAAGCAAGCAGGTCCCCATCGGAAGCATCCAAGGGACCAAAGAGAGGAAATACTGGGGTTTAAGGGCTTAGGGATCTCAGAAGTCCACAGGAAATATTCCAGAATATTCCTTTCCTTAGCCCGAGGGGGAACTTTTGAGAGGAGCACCCAGGACCAAACAAAAAGCAGAATAAGTGGGGCAAGAGGAGAGAAAGAACAGGGTCTAGAGAGATCTGTCCAGAGATGGCAAATCTCAAAAAGTTACAGAAACACACAGCTTCTGAAAGAAGGCATCACGTATCAGAACGCAAAGAGGAATAACAATTCTGCATGGTGAAGATCTAAGTTCCTGGGTGCACAAATGGTCAGTGAGCTTGACGCTCATGGAAAGGTTGGAGGTTGGAGTCCTCCCAGGCCCGGTTTGGAAAGGAAGCTGAGGATCTACTTCTGAAAAGATCAGTGATTGGAAACTCTTCTACTCTGACCTACACAGGGCTGCCAGGACCAAGAAGGACCCCATGGCAGCTGGCTGTCGTTTGGATGGCGGTAGACACCTCTGCTGTTAGGACAGGAAGCTTTTGAGCTCTGCAGCCTTGAAAGGCTGCCAGCTTAGTTCACTGGGAGAAGATAGATTCAAAGTTAATTTTAATGTTCACAATAAAATTTATCAAGACAAGGAAAATGAGTAATATTTCATAGCTGAATAACTATGAAAATGAATAGACCACATAATAAAAACAAAACGAACCCCAAGCTGGTTGCTGTCCCATCGTCAGGTAGACCTGCTGGATGGGTTCTAACCAACCCATTGGCTGCCAGATGATGGCAAACCACCCTCACCAGCCAAGGCCCAGCCCTCATAATAAAACTTTAAACAAACAGCAGTGGCACACCAGCTATGACTACCTGTGCCCCGAGCAAACCTGCTGCAGCTTTAAAAAAGCATAAGCTACAGGAGGAGCACAGCAGGACAGTACTACTAGTAGGAACTAATGGACATCTTTCAATAGGAGAGCGAATGAAAATCAGTAAAGTTGATCTTCAGTATACACCTGCTTATCACCTTTTGACTTTAATGTCCAACACTTTTTGCTGAAAAATTAGTTTTATTGCCAACACTGATTTATAACAACTTTGAAAAAATTCTGACAGTGTCACCGATGGCCCAGGCTCCACACAGGAGTAGCTGGGTCTTGGGTGCCCTCTGCAGCTACTCCACAAACAATATACCAGAGGCCCTGTGACAATTAGGTGGATCACACGAGGGACAGTATCTGACACCGTAGGACACCTCCCACTTCTGTGACATCTTGGCTCAGTTACAGAGGGCATGGAATGACAGTGGGATGAGACAGCTTGTGGGTGGGCAGAGGAAGGGTTGACAAGGGCCACCAAGTGCAAGGAGCTGGGGACAGAGGGCATGGAATGACAGTGGGATGAGACAGCTTGTGGGTGGGCAGAGGAAGGGTTGACAAGGGCCACCAAGTGCAAGGAGCTGGGGACAAAGGGGCTGCGCAGGGATGTGGGGCCAGTGTGGACAAAGGATAAGGGTAGTCCTCCCCGAGGGTGGTGGCAACACCTAAAAACCAGCTGTGCTGTCCCCTCCAGCTGGTGTCCAGCTCCCTGGTGGTGCTGAAGGCATGGAGGGAAAGGGGGCGCTGCCTACATTAGGCATGCCCTAAGCCTGTCCACAGGGTGCTTGATATGTGGTAATTGAACTGGGATCACAAATAGGAATGGTGTCCCAACTCTCAGATAATGCAGATTTTGCGTGATGATTTGGTTTTGGAACCTAACCATGTCTTTAAGCAGAGTGGGTGTATGACTTTCTAATTCATATTCTCTAATTTAGAGTACATAATTTGATATAGACCCACTCCTCACTAACAGTTAGGTTCCAAAGATTAGGTCACTATTTGAAAATCTGCTCTGTGAAAATGGAGGAAGAAAACCAAATCAGTTCGCTTACTCCCTATATACCACTAAGAATCAGCCCACACAAGTTGACACATGACTTCAACCTTCACAGCTAGTGTTAATTCATGCCTCATACTTGGTACGTTATTGCCAGATGTACATTGTTAATGTGCAAAATACTGGGGTATATTTATTTACTCTTAATGCAAATTTGTAATGTTGGACAAGAGTGTTAAGGGAGGAATAGATGTATTTTGTAGTTTTTATTAAGTACAAATGAAAATCATAGAATTCCAAGCAACTAAAGTAGGTAAGCTTCGACTGTTGTCTTTTTTTCCAATTCTTTAGGTTCTTAAAAATGCAGGACTGAAAAAAGAAGATATTACAATGTGGGAAGTGAATGAAGCCTTTAGTCTGGTTGTACTGGCAAACATTAAAATGCTGGAGATTGATCATCAGAAAGTAAACATCAACGGAGGAGCCGTTTCTCTGGGACATCCGATTGGGTAGGTGACGTCGTAAGGAAAACGACTTCAGTTTATGTCGACTCTGCATTTCTGGCTACCTGTCCAACAGGATTCCTGCTGCTCAAGGTTAAGGCTTCTCCTGTCCACCCATCCTTTGTATGAAAAGACCAACCAGAGACAGATCGCACATCTGTTGCTTGAATCCTAGTATTGTACTTGAGAAATACACTTAGACGAAGTCTGCGTTCAGCCTTTTAAAATAGCTGTAACTTTTCTTGAAAGAAAAAAAGATAGTTAATCCATCATGACTAGTAAGTTTGGTAGAAGTTCACTTGGAATATTAATCTTGTTTAGCCACATATTACTACAATATTTTTCTTAGTCCATTGTTTTCTTTAAAAAAATAATTTTTGTTCCATGATGTTTTCTTAATCCTAGGATGTCTGGAGCCAGAATTGTCGTTCATATGGTTCACACTTTGAAGCCAGGAGAATACGGTCTTGCCAGTATTTGCAATGGAGGGGGCGGGGCTTCTGCCTTGCTGATTCAGAAGTTGTAGACCAAAGAAGATAATCGTTATGCAATCAGAAAGGCCTGCTGCAATAAATCAAATACCTAACAGTTGCATTTAAAAACATTATTTTCTATTTTGACTCATGTAACATAAAAAGATCAGATCCCAACACCTCTTGACATTACAAATCTTTTTCTTCTGCATTCATGTTTTTGATTAACGTTCGAAGACTAACACGTTTTTACGTGATTTGAACTGCCAGGGACTTATTTGGGAGAACACATCAATTAAAAATGTTGGGATGGTGTGTTAGGCAAGTGTTAGAGAAACAAAACCAGGACACTTAAGATTATATGTACCCTATGTACTTGAGTATAAGCCGAGTTTCCAGCACATTTTTATTTTTTATAAATCATTTTATTGGGGGCTCGTACAATTCTTATCACAATCCATACACCCATCCATTGTGTCAAGCACATATGTACATTTGTTGCCATCATCATTCTCAAAACATTTGCCGTCTACTTGAGCCCTTAATATTGGCTCATTTCCCCCCCTCCATCCCTTCTCCCTCCCTCATGAACCCTTCATAATTCATAAATTATTATTTTGTCATATGTTACACTGTCCGATGTCTCTCCTCGCCCTCTTCTCTGCTGTCCATCCCCCAGGGAGGAGGCTATAAGTAGATTCTTGTAATCGGTTCCCCCTTTCCACCACACATTCCCTCCACCCTCCAGGCATCGCCACTCTCACCACTGGTCCTAAAGGGTCATCTGTCCTGGATTCCTGGTTTCCAGTCTCCAGCACATTTTTAATGCAGTTTCTGTGGTAAAATTAGGTGCCTTGGCGGATATTCGGGTCGGCTTATTCTCAAGTATATACGAGGATAGGTTTATAGAGAGAAGGAATAGAACAGCTAACACAGCAGTACAGTTCAACCCACTTTACTGGAAGTTAATATACTGCAAGCCCTTCAACACGGCTGCTGGTCCAAGGTCAAGGAAGCAGACAGCAGGGCGGGTTGACAAGTCAGTAGCAGCACAGGTGCTTAGCGAGGCAGGCCACGATGGGATGTACAACTGTACAGCGGCAGGATGTACCAAACTCAAGCGATATTTGCGCCGGAAGCCAGAAGTGTGACAAAGCAGGTCTCAAAGGAGCCTTAAGCTCGTGACATGATCCACAGGTTGGCTTGGCCTCTAGGTAGTACACCACATAGCTGAGGCAAAGAACGAGCTAAAGCAGTAGCACACTGGTCCAATCACCAGGGAAGGAGGGAAGGGGGCAGGCCTTGGAAAACCATTTATCTTCTTGCCCTCCAAGCAGCGACCCGACTAAACTCCACCCCCACGTTCCTAGTTGAATGAAACTACCACATACTGGCCTAGTTGGCACAATAAACCAAACTATCACAGAGAGTAAAAACCAAGTGAATGCTGTCTATAGCTAATTTAATTTAAAACTCACCATCACTGAGTCAGTTATGACTCGGACTGTAGGGAGGTTTCGGAGGCTATAAATCTTCAATGATCAGACGGCCTCATCCTCCTGAGGAAAGGGTGGTGGGTTTAAACCACTGACCTTGTAGTTAGCAGCCCAAAGGTCCTTTTAGTGAGAGTTTTCTTTAATTGAGAGCTGACTATTCTGAGCAAACTTGAATGCCTATATGCTGTCATTAGTGGGAAACACACACACGTACCCAGTGGTACTAGAAACAGAGAAACCTGTGCGGTCAAGCAGAGAGTGGGGCCATTTTCTCATCCTGAGCATGTAGCACTTGGGAGTGGAGGCAGGTCCAACTGAGAGAATCTTGAACTGCTTCCTGGAATGCTACACCAGCACATTGGCAGGGGAGGCGGCAATTTCTAAAACAGAAAAAAATTATATAGAAGGAAAGAGACTGACCCTGCATATGAAATTTCCATTCTTATGCCGACTATGACAAAAGTATGCTGAACTGCATTTAATAAAATAAAGCACAGTAGGCAAGGGCTATATATGAGTATACCCCCAAAAACCTGGGGAGAAGCTCTGCTGGGCAGAGCTTTTAGAGTACATCAGACTGTTAATCAAGCCTATTTAGAGGTTCTGAAAAGATTGCATAAAAGCATGTGACAAAAAAGGCTTTATTTGTGGCAGACGGGGGACTGGTTTTGCCACCACAATGCACCTGCTCATGTAGCCATCTCAGTGCATTAGTTTTTGGCAAAAAACAGCATGTCTCTCTTGCCCACACACCTCACTCACCTGATCTTGCTCTGTACAACCTCTTTTCCTAAGATTCAGATATAGGGTCATTTTAGAAACATATTATCAGCAAACTTTTCAGGCTCATATCCTAAGCATTGTCATAAAGGTTTATTTTGTATGAATTTATTTAAATGCCAAAGACTCATGATATAGATCCATTATCTATAGTTAAGGCAACGGAAACATCAAAGGTTAAATACATACCATGATCAAACAGTAAGTAGCTGGGACTGGAGTTCAAGTAGCCAAGTTAATTTCTAGAGCGTAAGCTCTCCACTTAGTATGCTTTACTTGGTTAGCCCAAGAATGCACCAACTAAATATCCCTCTAGTATTCCTAAGTTAAAACAAAAAAAATAAGAATTCCTAACTGAGGAGCTAGGTAAAAATAAATCCAAAATCTATTAAAAAGCTTCACTATTATCGCTGAAGATAAGCATAGTTAACAATACACCCAAGTCAGTGATCTAGAACTTACATTCTCGGTCTTGCCACTGGGTTACAATAATTCTGTTAAATTCCGAAGTAAGTCAAATACTATTCCTCCCCCTCCCCCACTTTAAACGTTTCCTTTATAACTGCATTTTAGTATCAGTATTTCTTATGAAGTTCATGCTTTGCGAGCATCAATGTTGTTTGATATGTACTTGCTGTTTAATATACACAATTGCTGCATATCATTATGTTTAACTTTGTTATGAGTCTACACCAACACCATCAGACTTCTCTGTAGACAGTATTTTTATCAGTAAATCATAACACTGAACATTTGCGAGTGAACATCTTAGAGTAATATCAGCAAACAATGCATTACAACACTGCATGCTGAACATATTGATAACAAAAAAATCCAGTAGGTTGTAAATGTGGTTTGAAAAGCTCTAACACTATAGGAAAATATTAGAGGAAGAGCGAAAAGAGAGAAAAGATAAGAAAAAGTAAATGGTTTTCCTTAAAATTAAATATAAAACAAATGGTACTTCTATAATATAATAGAAAAAACAATTTTTAAGTACTAAGTGCACAAAAACAAAGGGCTTATTAAATCAGCAAAATTATTATGAATCATATTAAGACATCTTGGAGAATACATTCAAATTCTCAAACATGAAAATAATATGGGTAACTTCAGCCTTTACCTCTACGATAGTAAATGTCAGAAGGCAAATGACTAACATTTTAAATAAAGAAAAAAATATGGGAGTAGAAACTTCATCATTCTCACACAGATCAGCTGGTGGTTTTGAACTGCTGACCTTGAAGTTAGCAACTCAAATGAGTACCTAGCAAACCAGTGGGCTACCTAACTAATGGATAACCCACTATCCTACCAGGGCTCTAAAAGAAATTCAAACTGGAATCAAAGAGGATGTAACACAGGGAGATAAATATGTTGCTGATGCCAGACGGATCTTGGCTCAAAGGAAATACCAGAAAGATGTTTACTTGGTGTTTTATTAAGTCTGCAGACATTTCATCGTGGATCATAACCAACTATGGGTAACACAGAAGAATGGGAATTCTAGAACACTTGATTGTGCTCTTGTGGAACTAGTCCACAGACCAAGCAGCAGTTGTTCAAACAGAACAAGGAGACAGTGCAACTTTAAAATCAAGAATGGTGTGCACCAGGCTGTCTTTTCACCGAACTGATTCAATCTGTAGGGCGAGTCCATTATCTGAGAAGCTGGGTTATATAAACAAGAAGGGGACATCAGGATTGGAAGACTACACATGGAACATGAAATGACAATGTAGCTAGCTTGAAAATGGAGAGGATCTCAAGCAGTGATGAGGAGCAAAGGCTTAAGTCTTCCGTATGGATACTATCTCAAAACAAAACTCAATAAGGAAAATCATGAAAAATAGGAAAAATATTGCAATTGTTGAAGACATCCACAATTAACATTCGTGTAATCAGCAATTAAGAAATGAGCTGTCTTGCTGCATTTCGCCAATCTTTATAGTTAAAAAGCATAGGTACCACTTTGGGACTAAGATGCACTTTGACCTAAGACATGCTATTTTTCAATCATCTTCTTTGCATGTGAAAGCCGAACAACGACTAAAGGAGACTAGAGAATTGATGCGTTTGAATATAAAAAACCTCAACTGTCAATGCAAACTCATAGGGACCCCCTGTGGGCTTCTGAGACTTTACAGGAGTAGAAAGCCCAATCTCTGGCAGAGCTGCTGGTTTTGAACTGCTAATCGTACGGATCACAGCCCAATCACTAACTACATCACCAGGGCTCCTGCTGAACATAAAGCTACCAGCAAAACATCTGTTGGAAGAAGTACAGCCAGAATCCTCCGTAGAAGGGAGGATAGTGGAACTTCATCTCAAACACGTTGGGCGTGTTGTGAAGAAGGACCTCTCCCGGGAGGACATCTTGCTCGGTGGAGTAAATCCGAGGAAGGCCCCGCGGAGCTCGATTACACAGTGGCTGCGGTGATCTGACCGTGAGCATGGCACGGGACCTGGCAGTGTTGGACTCTGTTGTACACAGGGTCAGGACAACACCTAACGTCAACAAATGGTCTTGAGAAAAGTGGTTCAATATTTAGGAGGAAAAAAATGCCCTTTGATCCTTTATGCACAGTTAGGGCTGAGCTTTCCTAATTATAACAAATTCAGAAATTAAACTTTAGAAACAAAGTGAGGAACTCCTCACCGACAAGGGTAGATTTCATTTATAAGCACATGCAATGGGAAAAAAAAGATCAATTGGAGGAATTTAGACTGAGACAACTTTTTGTTTGGGTAATAGTTATAATAGGGTAGAACTGCCTGTGGGTGTTTGAGACTATAAATCTTTTTGTTTTCCTCTCCCAATTCAACATGCATAATTCAGTGCCACTTATTATACATTTTATGTTGTACAACCATTATTGATATCCTTTCCCAGATTATTCTACCACCATTAACATAAACTCAAAGCCCCTAAGCAACTGCTTTCTCCTTCACCCACAGTAACCACTGGTCATTGGTGAAGTTTGGCTTATTTATTTATTTTCCCCCCAGTTTCCCCGATATAGTATTCACATACCATACACTTCCCGTGGTAATTTGCTTTTAAAGGGTTATTTATACATCATCACAATCCGTTCTATACATCACTTATAATTTGTTCCCTCCCCGAGACTGTACACCTTTATGGAAGTAGAAAGCCGTATCTTTCTCCAAACGTGGTTTTAATCTTTTGACTTTGTAAACACTACGCCACCAGGCCTCCCTTCCACATATTACAGAGTTTCCATAATCTCCAAAAGCTCTGGAGGAGGAGTGGTTGTGTTTGGCTGCTAACTGCAACGTCAACAGTTCAAAACCACCAGGTGCTCTGAGGGAGATAGAAAGGTTTTCTACTCAGTCTCTGTTTCTACTCAGAGGGGCAGTTCTACCCTGTCCTTTGGGGTTACTAATGGATCGAAACAGACTTGGTGGTGGTGAGTTTTTGTTTTTTTAAATTTTCAATGCTAAAACAATCAAGGTTCTAACAATGCCAGGGCTAAAGTAACTATTTTAATTATAAGACTGCTAAGATTTGACATACATCAATTATATTAAACACTAAGTAATACATTAACTATAAGTAATACATTAACTATAGATTTTTACTTGTCAAAAAAGTCACATGTTCTTATTTGTGATATACTAAAACACTTACAATGCCTTGACTTGGCAGCTGACTGTTAAGATAGGTGACCAGGCACAACAGTACAATTAAGTTCAGGATATTAGGGCTTTCAAGGTAAAATGGAGATGATGAATTTGTTTTGGAATGTAAGCGAAGGCTCCCAAGTACAAGTTTTTTTTTGACTATATCTCGCAAGTCCTGGTTTGTGGAATAAATCTCAAAGAAAGTAACCTTCTTTGTTGTGTAAGAATTCTTAGTATTAGCACATGTAAAGCAGGCATTCAACAATACTGACTGAACAGAAATTCTGCAAATTTCAGTATTATATGAACTCCAGATGGAATAAACAAGGTTAGACTTACAAAGGAATTTCACGAGTTTCTTGAAAAAATGAAACAAAACCCAAACAATTGCCAAATATAATTTAAACCTTTAAAACAATGAAATATTTACTCAAACATATCTGTAGCACAATATCAAGTTGAGTTAAATAAACTTTAACTGGTATGATAGTCCCTTAGAAATAGACTATTGTCACATCATACATATTTTTTTACAACACAAATTACTGAGGTTCACAGCCATTAAAAAAAAAACCCAGGATCTCTACTGTTGTGAAAGAGCAGGGAGAATTTATTTTTTAAAGGATGAGTACAAAAACCAAAAGAGAAAGAAAATGGTTGAGGAAGGTGACTCTTTAACAATATCTACATCCGCAGGGGGAAGAAAACCCCACGTGAATACACTGATCTTTTGTGAAAAGGAAAGCACTTAGAATACTTTAATATCCAGGCACAATTGGTTGGGTATTAATTAAAATTTTTGTTCCCATTTATAGGCTTAAACCAATTCTTCACCTTAACTGATAACATAGGAGTCTAGGGTAGAGAAGGCACCTCTTTCATTCCCCGCAAGGCCTTTTGGAGAGAACTCTTTATACCACTTTGTGGGACACAGAGACAAAGCACTATATCTAAGTACAGAAACAGTTATTCAGCACAGCCAATTTTAGGAGAAACTAACTTACAATATAAACTATGACTTCTCTTTGTACATCTCATGACGGCTGTGGCTTTCGAAAAGGCCCTCAGGAGATAATCCTTTACACAAATTGAACACAATACAAGATTTAAATTAAATGTGCATTGTTCACTATTATGTAAAGAGTTCTATAAATTAGTGCAATTCTTTAAATCTCCAGTATATAGAAGAAAAATATATACATACTGAGAAACCTCAATCACTACCAACCAAGTTTGTTATGGCTCAAGAGTCTAACCAGTTAAAAGTTCTGCAAAATATCTTAGAAACTATAAACAAAAGCTCAGAGTACTCCAATAATTTACAACATTCTCTCTTTAAAACAAAGAGACCAGAACAATCAAGAAATAGTTAAAGAGCAAAATTTCAAGAATATAATTTTTACTGCAATTATAAGGAGATGGTAATGTACTCCTCAAACAAAATCATCAACCTGCTGATGTCTGATTAGGTACATGACTACAAGCTGAGGTGGCTTTCACGTTTGTAGTACTTAGTGGTTATGTTTTTAAATGCCTTGTTGGACAATTACTGATGGTAATTTATAAAGAAAACCATTATGTCCCCCCAAAGAAAGAAACTATTCCAGATGAATATGCCTCAGAAATGGGGATCAAAAGGTGTCAAAAAACACAGTATAAGAACATTAGGTTGTATTAACCTCTATTTCAACAAGATTTACACAATATTTACAGCACACAATTTCAAGTTATACAGTTTTGCAGATTGGCTTTACTTATATTTCTGCAAAAGAAAAAAGTTTTTTCTTCCCAAAATAGAAACATTCCAGGTAAGTCTATTTACAAACTATGCAGCTGCTTCGGAAACAGCATGATTTAGATATAAAGTGAAATTTCAGTACAATGAAAGTGCAGGTGATGTTTTCAGAATCTGTCAGTATCCCATTCCCTACACTCACAGTTTATGGGATACCAGTTTTCAATAGCTACTGTCCGTGTAAGTTCAGAATGTTCATTCATCATAATGCAAGGAAAGCAAAAACTTGTCCACATCCATTCCAGCTGGAAACGAACTGGGTAGCTTCTTTTTCTGTCAAAAGAAGAAAAAAGAAAGTAAGCCTAGGTTAATATTCTGACCTCAAACAATGCCAGAAGCCTTTACTATGTTACTTAGAACTTCTGTCAGGTTCCTTCCACAAGCTCCACCAAACTGCCTAGTTTTGGCTCATTAGAATTCTAGTTCTGCAGAAGTTTTATAAATCCAATGTTAACTGAGTGTACTTCAGTGATCCTTTGACATTTGTCACTTGGCAATTCCACACAGCAGCTAAGTGACATTGTAGCAAAAACAAAACAAACAAACAAAACCCAACATGTTTTTAATAAAGGGCACTTTCCCCAAATATTTTGGCTTAGTATTTTGTCCCTGAAAGGTGTGCTTAAATCATAACCTTCACACCTATGGTTACAGTTCCCTTTGGGAGTGGGGCTGTATTATGTCCATGAGATGTTAGTGTTGGGTGCATTATAACAATCTCTTTGGGGACAGAAAAGAGTAGGTTAAGCAAGTAAGCAGAGGGGAAGGTACAAGCCAACTGATTACCGGACAACCTAGAAGCAGCAGCTCGAGAGACGAGGCCCAGAGAGAACAGAGTAAGAGTCTTCCCTGAGAGCAGGCCCCCTATGTTGAGCCTTCGGGGTCTCTAAACTGTGTGAAAATAAACTTCTGTTCATAAAAGCCATGCCCCTGTGATTGTTTCTGTTCTAGCAGCACTAGATATCTAAGTCAGAAATAAGACATTTATAAACAAATGAAAAGGTTTCTACTCTAGGCAACTTCTGAGGACCACAATGGCTGAGAAGCTTGTCTACAGAATCTATCTACTCAAGGCAGTCTTAATTATAATGTTCAGTTAGGCAGCAGTGCCCCCACCCCAAAAGGTTGAGCTCTTTATTAAGGTGGCCTTTATTAATCTGGTGCGATCTCAAAAGAAAAATGTTCAGTCTTACCTTAATTTTCTTCTTTTTCATGGGTACTGATGAATTCCCAAGATTTTTATTAGAAGTACGGGAGTTCCGTTCATGCTCATCCAATTCCTCAATTTTCCGCTTCTTTGTGGCACTCCTTGAAGCCCTGAACTGCTGCTGTGTATTGTCTTTCAGCGGCGTGGCTGAAGCAGTCCTGGAGATGGCCGCTCTGGAGAGAATCATCAACGTATGGGCAGCCATGCTCACACTGTTCTCACTCCCCGTTTCACTGGCAGGGCTGCAAGCAGGCACGTCTGGGGTGACAGGAGGGATCATGACTTTGGGGGCGCTGTCTTCAACGAAGCGCCTACTAGAAGGGACCTTGATAACATCTGTAGGTTCTTCTTTGTGTTTCTCCCCGACCCCTGAGCCAGGCGTCCGAGGCACAGGTAATTCGCCACCATCAGCAAGCTTGTTTACTGGGCTGTGCCGCCGACTGCCCTCTAGCATGTCTGTAGTATGCTTGCTTAGGGGGCTAATCAAACCACTGGGAGCTTTAGTTTGCTCTTGTTTTATATCCTTCACAGCTCCTCCTACTGAAAGGGCACTTTTACTGTTGGAGGGTGTGCCTTGCTTTTGGGTTAGTTCTTGCAATGAAGCTCCAGTTTTCTCATTCCGTAAACTCCCATTTTGCTGGCCATTGGAAAGTTTCGTGGTTTCTGGATTTTTCTGCTTTTCCTTATCTCTGCACAATTCATTTTCTTTATTAGCTGTTGCTTTATGGAAAGATTCAAGTACAACCTCTGGTGACAAGACTTTCTTTTCTGGCTGAGTTTCTCTTATGGTGGTATGCCGACTAATGGCAGTTTCTGATTTAGATAAAATCTTAGGCACAGGTTTCTCCCTTTTGATAGCATTATTAGAAGGTGGTTTTAAGGGGGAGGGCACAATGGGGCAGTCAAGAACAGGGAGAGAAATGTCATTCTTTTCATTGTTTGGTGGTGCCTTCTTAGGGTCTGGGCCCTGTTGTCTATTTCCCACAAGAGGAGCAGTGCTGTCAAAACAGAGCACCCGTCGGTGGCTTTCAAATGGCTTGCTCAGTGGAACTGTACTCTCTCCTGAGAGGGGCACCGGGACTTCATCCAATTTTCTTCCAAGATCTGTGACTACACTCTTGTCAGAAAGGTCAGTTCTACCAAAAAACAAACCAAAACACCCCACATTACTTGTGGCAAGATCAGGAGAAAGAGGAGGCTTTCTACTACTGTAAAGAGTTAGAGTAATGTACAAATGTGCTTTATACAATGGATGGATGTATGGATTGTGATGAGTTGTATGAGACCCCAATAAAATGATTTAAAAAAAAGTTATAGTCTTGGAAACCCACAGGGGTAGTTCAACCTTGCCCGAGAGGGTCACTAGGCGTCAAAACTGACTCAATGGCAGTGAGTTTGGTTTGATTGGGGGGAAGTATACAGAATCTTTTATTTTAATCCAAGCATTCATATAGTCTATTATTAGTAATGGCTTTATCCTCACCTTTGTGCCCGAGAGCCCACTGACTGATGTGAAGAATCCACCACATTATTGATCTGTTTCCCTGAAATTATAAATGAAGTAATTAGAAAAGGAAAATATGCGTTAAAAAATCCTTTCAGAGAAAAAGATTCTTGAAAATGAATACAAACCTCTGAAGGGTGTTGGAACAGAGAGCACATGCACCATAAGAAAAAATTTAAATGTCAAGGTACAAACATTTTATTTAATACACCAGCTATTAGAAAGGATCTTTGTAGGAAGTAAAACTACCATTTTTAGAGACAATATAATCCTTTAAATAAACAACCACACAGGATTCACAAGGAAGTAGTTAGAAGTAGTACAGGAGGGTGGCAGTGCACAGTCAATGCACAGAAACAAACTGGGTCTCTATGCCTCGGCCATGAGCAGTGGGAAGGAACAATGAAGGCAATACTGCCATTATAATAGCATCTTAAAGAACAACATCCCTGAAGGTAAATTTAAGCAGGAAGGTGAAAGACTTGTACACAGGAAACTGTAAAACATTACCAAATGAAGTTAAACACAATCTAAATAAACGGAAGGACACTGTGTGTCTGTGGATTGGAAAGCTTAGTGTACTTGTGAATACCACCCAAAGCAATCTATAAATTCAATGCTATCCTTATCAAATCCCAACAGTCCAGTTTACAGAAATAGAAAAGCCAATCTTCAAATTTATATGGAAGGGCAAGGGTCCCTAAATAACTAGAGCAATCTTGAAGAATAAAGCAGGTGGGCTCTCACTGCCACGATTTCAAAACACACGGCAAGTGACAGAAATGAAAATAGCCTGGCAATGGTATAGTATTAGCGACATACACCAAAGTTATGGAGGGCCCAGAGATACAGTGACAGATCAGTAGTCAAGTGATTTTCTTTTCTTTTCTTTAAAAAACATTTTATTAGGGGCTCATACAACTGTTATCCCAATCCATACACACATCAATTGTGTAAGGTGCATTTGTACATTGTTTCTCAAAACATTTTTTCTCCACTTAAACCCCCGATAAGGGTGCTAAGTCCATTCAGTCGGAAGGAAGAAACTCTCTAGTGAATGATGTAAGTGGATTTTGACATTTAGAACAATAACAGATCAGGCTCCAAGCTTTACATCATACACAAAAACCAATTCGAAATGGTCAAGGGCCTACATGTGACAAGTAAAATGATAAAATTCTTGTAATAAAATGCAGGGTGTGTGTACCTGTGGGGCCTACTTTCTGACAAGGGATCGTCAGCTATGAGAAAAAGAGCACAAGCAGCAAAAGACAAAAGACACATGGGATCACATAAAAATGAAATACTTTCATTCATTAGAGGCCTTCATAAAAAGTCAGAAGATATCCTACAGCAAAAAAAAAAAAAAAAAGATATCCTACAGATTTGTATATTCAGGAACCATATATCTATCTGATAAGGGTCTAGAATAAAAACTAATTAAAAAAAACTATTGCTTAACAAAAACCCAATCTAAACTTGTTCAAAGGACTAGAAGAGGCATTTCACCACAGAGTATATTCAAATGGCCAGGTCCATGAAAAGATGCTCAGTGTCGGTGCCACTAGATAAATGCAAACCTGTAAAAACAGGGAAGAGATCGGTGGATGGCAGGGGGTTAAGAGGTAGAAGAAAAGATGAATAGGTGGAACACAGGGCATTTTTAACACAGTGACACTATTCTGCATAATACTATAAAGGAAGAGATACACCATTAAGTATTTGTCAGAACCTTTAAGCCTGTAAAACATCAAGAGTATGCTCTAAGGTAAACTATGGATCTTAGTACAAAGTGCGTTGATACATAGTTCAACAATTGTTAACAAATGCACCACAATAGTGCAACAAGCTAATAGAAGTGATATATAACGGGGGAGGGGATATATGGTAACATTACTATACATACATGGGCTCTTAAAAGATTTATTTTGTTCCAGTGGTGGATTTAAAAAAAAAATCATTTTATTGGGGGCTCGTATAATTCTTATCACAATCCATACATACATCCATTGTGTCAAGCACACATGTACATTTGTTGCCATCATCATTCTCAAAACATTTGCCTACTTGAGCCCTTAATATCGGCTGCTAATTTTTCCCCCTCCTTCCCCACTCCTCCCTCCCTCATGAACCCTTCAAAATTCATAAATTATTATTATATTGTCATATGTTACACTGTCTGGCGTCTTCCCCCGTCCTCTTCTCTGCTGTCCATCCCCCAGGGAGGAGGCTACACGCGCACTCCTGCAATCGGCTCCCCCTTTCCACCCCACATTCCCTCCACCCCCCAGGACAGTGGTGGATTTTAATTATTATGGGTCAAAAATTATCTTAATTCCATTTCTTACAGACTTTTGGAAGGCCCCTCACATTTTATTACTTGGTGGGGTGAGGTGGTTCTCTCTCTTATCTTAGCTAACCATAAACTTGTTCTTCCTTAATATAATTTTTCTTCCCCCATCCCCCAATATAATACCAGTGGGATATAATTGCAGTAAATTTTCAATTAAATTGGTAAGAACTAAAATCTTTACACTGCGAAGTCCTTATATCCATTTTTCCCCCCTTATATCTATTAAAATGGCTCTTCTATTTAGGTTTTCTTATAGATTTTTAAATGATAAAATTTTCTCCACATTTAACATTTTTAGTTAGGTTACTTCCTTTGTACTTTTGCATTATTTTTGAGTTACCGTGCTATTTATATTCTATTATATTTAATATTCCCATTAGAAGTGTCGAACACTATTTTCCTAAGTGGGAGATACTACTCACTGAGAGCACTGACAACATCCAGTGGGGTGCAAACGCATGTACCTCTATTTTATCCCGGATCATGGGTTAAGCACAAAGGTTTTTCAATGTCAAGGGGGCTCTGAGTATTTAGACTTCTGAACAGGGGGCAGTATACCAACTACGTCTGGGAACCTATGGTATAGAACAACATCATTTTGGTAAATTAATATTTGGCTACTTGGTTGAATTTTTATCAAGTCTTACAATTTTTCTGATTCTGTGTAAAAATCATGTCGTTTGCTGTAACAGTTTTTTCCCTTCTTTTCTAGTCTTTACACCCATTTTCTTACTCCGTCTACTTCTGTATAGGTATGGGAAAACTTGTATAGGGCTGAAGTAGGATTGATGTTAATGAAAAAAGAATAGCTTACCTATCAATTATTGGGGTTGGAAAGGCTGGTTTAGTGCGTAAGGGTATGCAACCTTGTTTTGGCTACAATTTTAGTGGGAATTCACTTAAAAATTTCCTGTTATGAATGAGATTTACTATAGATATATTTTAAGAGCATCTCATAAATATGTGTAGACATCTATCATTTTTTTGTTTGTTTGTATCTTCAAATTGGGCTGTTACAAAAGATCCTGTCAATATAGATTTGTTAAAAAATACAGAGGGGGAAAAATATAAAGAGGTCAACAGTGGCTAGAAGACACAGGCACACACATGTGGCCCTGAGGAATCTGTGGGTCCTGGGAAGCTGCTGAACATGTCTAGGCAGAGGAGCAATATAGTAGTGCTTGCATTTTGGGAGAGTGCCACTTAATCAGCAGTATAATGACAGATTGGACAGTACGATAAAGAGCTATCTTGAATGAAAGATGATGGTTCGTTGAAATCCAATAGGTGAACCGTCAATTCAGAGGAACGCCCAGGCTTCTGACATAGGCAAGTAATTAGAAGGTTGGGCTCTGACCAAAATACAGAACACAGGAAGATCGTTTATAAACTTTCACGCCTTGCTACTCAGTGTGGTCTAGTGCTAGCAGCACTGAACTAGCTGGATGTTTGTTAGAATTGTGGACTCCTGAGTTGTGTGTTAGTCTCATTAATTTAGTATTTGCATTGTAATAAAATCCCAAAGTAATTCATACACACATTAAAGTTTGAAAAAAGTTACAAAGTTCATAAAATATAAGGCATTAACTAAATACTTTAAAGTTGTTAGGGAAAAAAAAGAATTATACTACTCTTAGATCATTCCAAAAGACAAACCTAGCAGTAGAGTAAGATGAGAGACTAAACAAAAGAGACAACTTTCTCTGAATCAGAACTGTCCAACAACAGAGTTGGCTGCCCAGTGACACTTGTAAGTGGAAAACTTTAAGCAAAGGCTGGATTGACCACATAACAGGGCCGGTGTAGTTATTCAGGAAGAAAATATCAGGTGTTGCAGCAGACAAATAAATACAGATACATAAATGCAATTAAAACAACTTAAAAGTATACCTGTACAAGGCTTGCTTCTTAGTCCCTGAGTCTTCTGAGACTTTGGAGGGACAGGGAATTGGGGGATGCCTCTGCTGCACACAGACGGTGTCAAAGGCATACGAAGAACCTGGACGAGAGATAGCCACTAATTAGACTGTTTGACAAGCCTCAATGCTCTGTTTTCAGTTACGAATCGTACCTGCCGAGGAGCAGCAGAAAAAGTATTTCCATTCTGTCCAACTACAGATACAGGGATCATCCCCACCATTCCTTGAAGTACTGGTTGGACTGGAGAGGCGATTATAATAGCAGATCCTAAAACAATAGTTTTCCATAAGATTTACTTTCATAAGCACAAACCACCAAAGTAATTAATCTGAAACAAACTCTTTACAATGATCATTTGGCTTCCCCATTATGTACTCTCATGTTAAACAGTCAGGAAGTAGACATGACGTATCATAGGCTTTGCCCTTAAGGAATTTACAATCGAGAATCACAAATGATAGACATCAATCACTAACTATACATATAATTGCATGTAATAAAATGCCACAAAGCAAGAGGTTCTAAAGACAGAGATCAACTCTGAAAGGAAGAAAAATAGGGAGAAATTAGAAAATGTTTTACGCAGGGAGATAGGTTGTTACCCTGGAAAGCCTCTATAAACAGTTACTTCCTTGACAACCAAGATTTTAATAGCTATTACAAAAATCTAAGACAGGTGTGGAGTTTGCATTGGTGTCATCACCATGTTCTTAGCTTGTCTCTTGCCAGGACCCCATCAGAATGCATTGTGATTACAACTCTGGGCTAAAATGGCACACAGCACACCTTCAACATCAAGAGAAGGTGGCTACAGGAATAACTGGCTCTTTGGCGTTATGAACCCACTGTGCACAAAAAAGGTCTCTGTGGAACAGAGAAATTATGCTCTCTCTAAACAATGGATAGAAATTAATGTGACTTGTAAATGAGAAGACAGTGCATATAGTAAGAGAGGAAGGCACAGAATCACTGCCTCCTGGGACTCGAAGGCCATTGTGAAGGGCAATAATAATACAGTGAAAGAAAGTTCTTCATAAAAGGACACAGGCCATTGTACTACATTTTGTTCTCTTCCTAGGTATTGTATAACCCTTTATAAAAGAAGTTAAAATTAAAACATCACAACACTGGACTCAGTATGTATACAGCTATTTGAGGAATTCGTCTCCTCTGCCCTCCATCTCTTTTGGTCGCTTTATTTGGGAATTGTGGAAAGGAGATGAAAATATTAAGCCAAAGAAATCCACAGCTTATGGATTAAAAAACACATGATGGAATTAACCATATTAAGATGATCAATCACAAATTTCAGAAGTTTTCTCATATTCTCTACCCACCACATTATAGCCAATAATGACACACCAGAAAAATTAGATGGTATTTCCTAGAGAAATTTCGTTTCTAAAGTTACCTTGTGACAAGTTTGGTGTCAATCCCTGGTTGACAGCAAAAACACTGCTTGACCTGGGAGGTGTCTGGAACTGAGGTGCTGGAGGCTGAGCAGTAATAGGTGCCGAATTTCCAGGCAACACCACTACATTAGACTGACTTACAGTTGTTCCTATGGCTGCTGGATCAGTCACACAGGTAGCTATGAGAATATTATTTGAATTGCCAAATGTGGTGCTTGTGGCAGGCATCAACTGTATGAACCCTCCATCCTTGGGAACACAGGGGACAATACTTGCTGAAGGAACAATGCTGTCTTCACTCTGGATGATGCATATTTTAGAGTCTTCAGGCTTGAGTGCTAAAAGACCCTGTTCCACTGACGAAGTTCCAACTCTGTCAGTCGATGAAACAGCACCTGAAGTTTCTTCAGAAGACAGGCATTTGGCCAATTCTGTATTTTTGGAAGATGATTTAGGAGAAGACAAAATTATAGTGGGCAAATTTTCTCCACTAATACTAGAAATGGCACTGTTAAGCTCAGTATCTGTGGAAACAAATGAATCCTCACTGATGATAATTTTGAGAGAGACAATATTTGAGGCATCCATCTCTGTGGCGTTGTCCCTCGGCTTATCACTAGTATTTTGAGATTCAGGGTGAGTCTCTCCCACGGAAGCACACACAGACTCTGAAGGAAGAGAATGGTTCTCTTCTATAGGGTTATCCTCTGGAGGCATCAGAGCCACTTCCACACAGTTGCTATTTTCACTCAAAGAAAGATAGATCGTATCTCCTTCTTTGACAGAAGCTAAAGACTCCTGTGAATCCAAAGCAGCTTTCTCAGACTTGGACAGCTGAGCTTCACTTTCTGTCTGCGGAAACTCAACAGATGTTGTTGAATCATTAGGTGGCTTAACTGAAGTTACTGGCGCTGCAAGACAGATGTCTACTTGTTGCTCAGATCCATTTAAAGCTGAATTTTCAACAGAAATTGATATATTACTTGGAAGTGCAGAGTTATCTTGGCAATTGGAAATCTGTTGTGATGCAATGGGTAACACGCTATTCATTTCCATTTTATTTTGGTGAATTCCACTAGAATCTGGTGACTTGGAATCATGAAAAGTAGTCGTCAGTCCTACTGTATCATTAGGATTTTCACAAAGTTGACTTTTGTTAGATGGCTTTCCAGTTAATGAAGAATTTTGGGATAGAAGTTGTGAACATTTTCCAGAGACAACTACTAAGTTTTCATTGTTAGTTTCATGTGAAATAAAAGATGCTATTGGTACTTCAGACTGATCAGGTTGTAGTTGAGATTCACTCGGCACATTTGGAGGCAGCTCAGTTTCAGTGGCTATCTGACTGGTGTATAATTCAACACAAGGCTGATTACACATAGCATCAGAATTTCCTCTTTGGTTAAAGTCATTCAAATTAGGCATAGACTCAAAGGTAATGTCAAGGTTACACTTCTGTTCAACAGGTATGGCCGTTTTAAAGGCCCTTTTTTGAATGCTAGAGCCCATTTGGGAAAAATGTTCCTGGGCTTCCTGAGTAAGTTCATTATGGTTGCTGTCATTCTTCAAAGTAGTTGATGCTTCCTCATTCTGATAGGATGTGCAAAATGGGGGCTGAACAGATGGATCATCTGCAAGATATAAGTATGGAAGAAGATATGGTGGTCATGTTTAACTTCCAATGTTGTAATTTGTATACTGTAAAGTCAATTTTACCAAGAAAGTAACTATCTTTGACATACTAGAGAGCAAACGCTGACAAACTCTATCCCTGATTTTCTGAAACAGAGATACTTAGGTATTTTTATATAGTACTAAATTGTTTTCCAGCTTTTTTGAAAATAGATGATACAGTGAAGAAAAAGTATACAAGTACACATCTAATATTTGTCAATAGGTAACAAAATTGGCTCTAAATATCCATTTTTTTCCACTAAGAGGTGACTTTTCACCTTCTACCATTTTTATTGACCTTATTGTATCTGCTGTATTCTTATAGGCAATATGGGGTAATGATATTTTGCAAAATTAACATTTGACTTCATTGTGTACTGTTTAACAAACCGTGTTTAAATCTTTTTTGAGGACAATTCCTATATTAGGTCTGGAGAAAGACAGATCTGGTGTCTGCCTTTGAATGATAAGTCTGCTCAGAAAAGTGGGTGAAGGGAGATGTCGGACAGGGCAAGATATGACAAAATAATTTATAAATTATCAAGGCCTCATGAGGGAAGGGGGAGCGGAGAGAGAGGGGAAAAATAGGGGACCTGATGCCAGGGGCTTAAGTGGAGAGCAAATGTCTTGAGAAAGTTGAGGGCAATGAATGTACAAATGTATTTTACACAACTGATGTATGTATGGATTGTGATAAGAATTGTATGAGCCCCTAATAAAACGATTGAAAAAAATGTGGGAGCAATTCCGGACTATCTACGGGAGCTCCTGAGTCTTTAACTCCTTAGTCTGGGCATTCTAGAGCCCTTCAATTTTCAGGTCCTTCGCCTTCTGTTTTATGAAATGAACTGATTGGATCATAGTATGTCTAGAGTCTAGGTGATTTCCAAAAATAGCATGGTACCATGAAATTGATTTTAGAGTGAACATGCAAAGCAAAAAAACAAACAAAAAACCCTAATTGATTTATGGAGCTGTAAGAGCCCCCAATAAAAGGATATATATAAATCCCAAAAACTCCATGCCACCATCTTAAGAACACTTCCACTGTTTAATAAGCAACTCGTCTACAAAAAAAAAAAAAAAAAGAGTCCAGATGGATTTATTTACTGCCTTCCCCCATTCAGTGATTATTTTCATGTGCCTAGGAAAGTGCCCCATAGGGCACTTTTATTCTGTCACAGTGAGTTCAGAGTCAGAATTGACTCGACGGCATCCAGCAACAATGATGTGCTACAATGGTATTCTATGGAAGGCAGAGAAGAAAAACAAAAACCTTACTACTCGTATTAGGAAGGACTAAAACCTCATAAAAATTCTCAACTTCCTGGTATCATTATAGTACATAATTTCTCTTAGGAGAAAAACAGATACTGAACAGTCACTTATGAGGCTGATTGATACCTATACACTAACCTTATACATTAGGGATTCAAATTGATCAACAAACAAGGTTATGTTAAATAGATATTTGTTCAACTGGTCAATAACATGATTTTGTGCATGTCAATAATCTACTGAAACAAGAAGCAATGAGTAATGAACTCAATTAAGATACTAGGGAGGAGCAAGCACTAGAACTGACAGGACAATTCATCTTAAAGGCGATTTAACCACGGGGGAGAGGGCTCTAAAATTGATGTGATATGATTATATAATCCTCCTTGTTGTACGATGTGCTAATAAAACTGCTGGGGGGAAAAAACTAGATTATGGAGCAATTAAAAAAAAGAGTAAATATTTAACTAGATATATAAAAATGCTATGTGTAGTAATTTGAATAAAGTTCAAATCAAAGAAAATTTTCTGATTTTGAAATTTTGAGAAAAATATTAAGAGTGGGATTGAGGTTTTTAATATTAACAAAACCAAATTCTTACCAGATGCTTCTGTTTTAAATGGGCTTCTAACTGTTAGAGTGGTTTCATCTGCTAAGACTACATTTGGATTGGGTTCCATGTGCTGACTGGAAATGCCATGTGGCATATTTTTATTATTCTTTGTTTTACCTGTTAAAAAGGGAATAGGGAAACAACTGATTAAATCACCAAAATAAAAATATGCATGAATATTGCATGATGGTGGTCAAGGGAATGTTAGGATTTGGTTTTAAATTATGGTCCTTAAAAAAAAAATTATGGTCCTCTTGATATTTTTAACACGTTGATTTGTATGTTATTTGTAAGTACACAGATTTTTCCATCAGATAATTAATTCTTAAGTTTTAGCACATCAGAAAAACCTGCAGAGTTTGAGAATTTGCATTTTTAACAAGTTCCCATATAATGATGAAATTGCTGGTGTGGGACTACACTTTGAGACCTACTGTGCTAGACCACAAAACGGAGGGCACAATGCTAGGCTTTGTTTTTTAAAAAAATATTTTTATTAGGGGCTCATACAACTCTTATCACAATCCATACAAACATACAACTGTGTAAAGCACATTTGTACATTCATTGCCCTCATCATTCTCAAAACATTTGCTCTCCACCTAAGCCCCCGGCCAAAGCCAGGTTTTCAGTCTCTTTGTACTCATCAACTGTGGCTAGTGTAATGTATTTGTAGTTGTATATATATATATTAATGTAGAACTGCCTGCCAGCTTCCCAGACGGTAACTACTTATGGGAGCAGAAAGACTCATCTTTCTCCCACCCCTTTCATATATGTACACACCAGTTGTTTGCTGTAAAGAAGAAAAGGGAATCTTTTTCTTAGATGTTCTGACTACGGCTTCACTTTAAGTTCCCAAGAATTTCAAGAAACTTTTCTACCTTTTTTGAAAGAAATGATCTACTTACCATAGTCAAAGAGATCAAAGAGTGCTTGAAATGCTGGGTCTGATTCTGTCTGTTCCAAGATATCCTGTATAGCTTCTTCAGACATGTGGATTTCACTCTGCAAAAAAAAAAAAAAAAAAAAAGTAAGCCAAAGGCATGATGATCTTAACCGAATTAATATAGTTTCTAATAGCAGTAAAAGACTGAGAGGAATGAGGGCAATGAATGTACAAATGTGCTTTACACAATTGATGTATGTATGTATTGAGATAAGAGTTGCATGAGCCCCTAATAAAATGAAAAAAAAAAAAAAAAGACTGAGAGGATATTTGGTGTTCTTCACTTTTTAGATAGAAGTATTCCCCTGAAGTAAAAAAAACACATTCTACTTATAAATAGAAGAGGAGCCACAGTGGCACTGATTGAAGCACTTAGCTGCAAACTGAAAGATGGGCAGTTTGCACCCTCGAGAGCCCCAGATCTACTTCTGTGAAGTTTTACAGTCTTGGGAACACTTTGGTGTACTCCTGTTCTGTCTTACAAGGTCACTGTGATTTGGAATTGACTTGAGGGCAATGCATATAAATATGCTCACTGAAAAATTAAAATAAGCTCATCTAAAAGCAATTCACCCAGTAAGACTATAAAATGTAAACAATCCCTCTTCTAAACACATTCCCAAACATTAAGGTGAAATGAACTAGGGTGCTATTTATGTATTTGGCCTCACTTTCACTGCCAGAGTCAATGCCAACTCAGTGTCCCTACAGGTCAGGGTAGAACTGCCCCTGTAGGTTTCTGACACTGCAACTCTTTATGGGAGTAGAAAGCCCGTTTTTCCTCCTGATATATTTAAACTGGTGATAGACATAAAGTCATAATATGGTGTCCATATTGCCATTTTCTTGGACTTTCAATACATGTGTCTGTTTTATTTATTTTCATCTTTCATACTAAATGCTTTCTTCAAATGCTCAACACTTGCTTATCTGTTCATATATAACACTGGCTTTCAAAAAGCTGAAAGTTCTGTGCCAGTATGGGGAAGTTGGTAACTACAATGAAAACTGCAGAACGATATTACAAAGCTATCTCCATGTTTAGGGGTTTCTGGGTCTTCTTAAACTAGCTGATTTCTTGCTAGGAGAGTTTATGACACGGTTTTGTGGGAAGAGAGTAAGAAAGGAAGGTTTGAAGGTGAATTTTCTGAAATAGATTTACCATGTTTACATTTATTTACAGAAATAATAGTACTACTACTTCCCAAGCCTTTTGAGATTTATTATAAACAACTTTGTTTCTGGGCACTGATTTACTGGCTTGGGACACTATGCTACGTCAGCTGCTACTTATCTATTTCATCTTCTAAAATTTCTGTTACTGACGTGTTACGGTAGCATTTTTAAAAAATTCCATCTTTTAAATGCTAGGTTGCAAAGGTAAATGCCACTACCTTTCTAAAGGGAAGAAACAAACTTCTTTTTAACCAGACATGGTTTAAAAATATTTTTATTGCATGGTTATGCCATGAATTAGTCATTCCTCACAGTTGGTCATTTTAATTTCCCCCAATTTTCAGTTATGGCAAATATTTTTACAGTGAAAATCCCAGTCAAAGGATATTCACTTAAAAAATGGAAAGCTTCTGCCAAACACCCTCTGGAGAGATTATGTAAGAATGAACACATTCTGACCAGTAATTAAAAACCAAACTCATAGCCTTTGAGCCGACGCTGGCGCACGGCAACCGTACAGGGCAGGCAGAGCCGACCCTGTTAGTTTCTGAGACTGTAACTCTTTACAGTAGAAAACCTTGTCTTTCTCCTGCAGAGCTGGCTGGTGTTTTGAAATCTGACCTTCCAATTAGCAGGCCAATGTCTAGCCACTCCAACAACAGAGGTCCTTGACCAATAATAAGCAATCTCAATTTTTAAGCATTGATTATATAGTGAGACATAGTCAATTAATTTGTTTCACATACTTTGGACATATTACCTGGAGAGACCAGTCCCTGGAACAGGATAATTCCTTATACAATGTAAGATAAATTTTAGTCTCTCCCTCCTAATGGAGGGACTTCTCCATTAGGCTAATAGATAGGATTAAGTTTCCACCTTAGTAGAAGGTGTGACTTAAGTCACACACCTGTTGTTTCCTTGGGAGCACACAGTCTGCTGAAAGGCAAATTCATTCCTCTGTGTATTAGAGGCATCTTATCACACACACAAATTTCAGGACCATTGGAAGTAAACAACGTTCGAGATCGCTGAAGTGGCAGAAGCCGAGACCAGAGGCTGCAGCACGGAGACCATGGGACAGAGCCAAGGAGCTATGTGTGCCATGGTTTTAAATCACCTCATATGTGTGTGAAGATTACACAATGAATAATGTATACTGAAGAAGAATCAATGCATTTGAATTATGGTGCTGGTGAAGAGTACTTAAAAGACCATGAAATGCCAGAAGGATAAACAAATCTGTCTTGGAGGCAGTATGTCCTAACTTTCTCTCACTTTGGACATGTTACAAGGAGAGACTCGTCCCTGGAAAAGGATCTCATGCGTGGTAAAGTACAGGGTGAGTGGAAAAGAAGAGCCTCAAGGAGATGGATGGACACCATGGTTGCCACAGTGGGCTCACAGATGCCAACAAGCGTGAGGAACATGATGGAGCAGTGGTCTGTTCCGTTGTTGCTATTAGGTAGAGCAGATTCGTACTTACCACCATCACTGCAAGGCTTGTTAAATTTTTTCATGAAATTTGAATTTTTAACTTCCCACAATACACAATATAAACAACAAAGAAGTGAAAATTATGTACTCCTTAATTTTTTTCAATGTTTTACAGAATCTATTAGAGCACCTTGTCCATGGTAATCACCTGATACATTAACAGAGAATACATAAGACTCGGATAGTGTTAGAATTTAGAAGAGGATACATAGTTGTTGAATTTTAACATAGAAGGGGCTTTTCAAAGTAGTTTTGGTAGATATTTCAAGGATGCTTTAAAAAGTGTGTCACTTTTACTAACTTTCTCCATGAGAAAATGCATCAAATAGTTATTTAAAAAAAAAAAAGAGGCTTGCTGCCTCTTCCACTCTTCAATCCTCTCCTCAGTCATGTTACCTTAATGTAACCCAAGAAAAGCATCGCTGCTGTGTCACACACAATGGTGGTGGCCACAGGAGAAGCAGCAGTGTGCAGCAGACCTGGCGGCAGCGAGGCGAGCCTGCCAAGGCTGCCAGCAGCACCACCTCCACACTGCACTGAACAGCAGCCACAGCACCAGCAACAGAGCAAACACAATTGAAGACTCGTGAAAACAATTAGTCTAGTGGACTAATGCGCCACACAAACCTCAACCTCTACAATCCTGAGACCAGAAGAAACTAGATGGTGCCCAGCTACCAGTGTCGACGGCTGTGAACCAGATATCATAATTCTGTGGACAAAATTAGAGGAAAATGTAGGGCAAAACTCAAAATCATCAAACAGACCCGCCATACTGGTCAGATAAAGAATGGTGGAGCCCTTGCGACTACAGCCCTTAATCTCCTGGAACTGCACCTCGAACCATACTTAGCACCTTGACTCAGTTTTCAGCCAAAGAACCAATAACACTAAGGAGGTATGTACTCCTTTAAACAATACCATTTGAGATAAGAAAGAACAATATTTGCTCAACGGCAAAGTTTAGAAGGCAGAATGGATTAGGAAAGGAGGAATGGAAAGAGGACACACAGGGAGGAAATGGGATAGGTGATGTTACATTGTGCGGATTGTAATCAGTGTCATGAATCCAAACATATATGAATTACTGAATGGAAAACGAATTTGCTCAGTAAGCCTTACCTAATTCCCAATAAAATAAATATTGCCAGAAAAAGAAATAAATAAATAAAAATAGGATTCTGAAGGAACTAGAATTGGAGGTAGGGGGATTCCTTAATGAATTTAACCAGAATTCATCATCTGAAAGAAAATTTGTTTTGGCGATTTCACACGGGTATGTTAAAGACACACAAATAAGCTTTACTGCCTAGGAGTTTGAATATAAGGATGTTGACAGTCTTGGCGCACTTCAAAAGAGTTTTGCACATAGACAAACCTCAAAATATACACTCATAAAACGCAATCCTTAACTAGTTTATAGTCTTTCATCTTCACCACCCCCACATAAGAAACAACAAAAACAACAACAAAACAGAAACAACCAACACAGCTCTTACATTCTTTCTCATGGCAGTCAGTCTCAGACAATTTTTCAGTTAGTAATCTTCACTCTTTAAAGTGCTTTGTTGTTTCATTTGGTCAAGTATAAGATGAGACTATGACATTATTTCATTATATTACTGGAAAGATTATAGCAATATAGAATAAAAATAATTTGTATCCACCATCGCCACTGTTGTTTGTTGCATACAAATATGCTCACTAATGAGTTATTGACATTTTTAATACTTAGAAGTCCATGTTGTGTGGTTCTATGGGGTATACGAGTGCTTTATTGGTATTTGGAAAAGTTACTAGAGCTATTAAATGGATTAAATGTCTTGCTACTCTTCCCATTTAAATAATGTAATATGGTTCTGTTTGAAAATTTACCATTTAGTAAGTTTTTCTCAGGAAAAAATTACATTTGGCAAAAGAAAGAAGGAAACCTCTACCTCAAATGACTTCAATGCACCTTTAAGTCATCCTAGACATTCAATTCCTTGTCTGAAGGAGAAGAAAGGGGAGGACGGTCCAGCACCGGACAGCGCTCGCTGTTGTGCGCAGGGTGCCTACCGCTGAGCTGAAACACACTGGACAGCACCCAACAGCAAACAAAAACAGCCCCTTGGCAATAATTCGAAAACAAAACTAAACTTCCATCAGTTTAATGATAAGTCTCTCTCTCTCACACACATGCACACAAATCTACTCATACCGGAAGTCCCAACAGTTCATCCACGGAAGCCTCTGGCTCAGCAGGCTTGCATTCTGCTGGCTTAGGTACTTGAGCCATGCTGCTGTCACTGTAACACAAAGAAAAATCTGTAGCGTCGATCTGCAGCAACACAAAACTATTAGGTATATTAAATGTAACTTACCTGGTCAAAAATTTATTAATGTTTTCTGCAAGCTTTTCTTGGAGAGATTTACTGCTTAATATTTTTTCTCGTGCATTTTCAATAACCATTTGCTGTAAAAGAAAATTATTGTTAGCAAGACTAGGAAAACATATTATGTATCTATTTAAAAAGAAGTAACTATTGGAAACTGGATAATTTTAGTAAGCTTAAGTGGAAATTTAGAAGCTGTGGTGGTTTTTCTATATAAACACCTGAATACTGTATTTCATAACTTATGTTTTCACAGATCCTTCACTAACTCTTCATTGTTTACAGAATACAATTTAAACTCTAACATATGTTCTTGCTGTTAGCTGCTACTGAGGTGATCCCACCTCACGGTGATCCCAGGTATACACGGTAGAACTGTACTCTCTCAGTGACCTGTAAGCAGCACATAGTCGGGCCTATCTGCCCAGGTACCTCTGTGTGGGTTTGAATTGCCAACCTTTAATAAAGGGCTTAAAATGTTTTCCATAGGATTCCATACGATACATCATAAAAGGAAAAAAACAAATCACCACAGCTGCAGGGTGGATTGTGACTTACAGCAAGCCTCTAGCTCATAACAGAACTGCTTCCTCTTTCTTCCAAGAAGCAACTGGTGGGGGGGCAGGGTGTCCAATGCCGTTCTTTCACTAAGCACCCCAGCGTTCCATAGCAGACATCACACGAGGATTAAAGTAATCTGACCCCAGTTAAATCCCCTTTCACATTACTTGACTCAGCAGCAACAACAACAACAGTATATGTAGCTTCCCACATGGCACTGCTTTCTGTTTGGTGCACTGGCACAAGCTTTCTATTTTGAAAGTCTATCTCCTTCTGTTACAGTCCTATTCCCCATCCCAAAGCATGTCTACTTCAGTCAAACTAAACACACACGACTATTTTAATACTCCGAATATTTCAAGTTGCAAAGTTTGGAGATGCCACTTACTTTTTCTACTGCAAAAGCATTTGGATCCTGAAAATTCCGTATCGTTGAATGAGGACCAGTTAAACTGATAGTTTTCTTTTGAGATTCACTGAAACACATTTAAAAGCCTATCTAATTAACTTGTAAATGCAATAGATAAAATGGAGGCATTATGAGTACACACATTTTTAGGTTGTCATGGTATGACAGATTATTTTCTTTAAAAAAGGGCAGTACGAGACTTGGATTCAGAAGAAATAAATTGAGGTCTAGGTTTCATTAGTAGCTATGTGACCTAGTGTAAACATAAGTGCTTATTTTTTGAATCCGTTTGGTATGGGATAAAACTAACTGCTTTATTGGGTTTATAGAACTGAATGAATAAAGGAGATGTAGGGACTTTGAAACAAAGTTAAGGTTACTGTAAATATTAGCAATGTTTGTTGTTTCACAGTAGGAAGCTGTTAATTAGGTAGCTCTAGATAGTCTATAAAGTGAAATAACCAACTCTAACAAACTTATCCATGGCCTGGCAACTGAAAATCCAGAAAAACGTTCCTAAACTAGTATTTCTTCTCTGAAATATCTTTCAAAGACATTCATGAAAGACATTATGGAAAACAACCCTTATTTCCAATGTATATGCCATTCTGTAAGATCCAACCCAATTTTAGGGAGGATACAATATAAAAAAACATATTTTAGAATGAGATAAATAGTAAATAGTCCCAAGAATTTAACTAGTCTTTTAGTTTGATTCACAATCCAAGTATTTTGGCATAATTCTCATTTTAAACATTCAGGTTATTAGTAACCTGTCTTTTAGGAGACATTTACCTTTTACGTCTACCAGGAGACATTAAACTGGCATGAGTTTTCCGTTCCTGAGGAGCAGGAATATTTGATGCTTCTCCAGCTGGATACCAAAAACACAAACAAAAAAAACACAACGCCCCAAAATGGTAAGATGAGGAAATTAAATATTTTTGTAACTGTCATTAATTGGTTAAGTAAAATATTATTTGATATTACTATATTCGATTAACATTTACTGTGACTGCTAGAAGCAAAAGCTCTTAGATGAATATAACTCATACACCTAAATATTTCACAATATAGTAGACAGTACAGGATAGTCTCAACAAATAACAATACTGCGAATCTGAAAAGGATTCCATTAGAAAATCCTGACTAGAGTGGGAAAGGAAAAAAGGAACAGAACTCACAGTCATGAACGAGACCACAGTTTCTGGCTGGACAGAGATGGGTGGGCCCCTCAAGACTATGGCCTTACCCTTCAGGTTTGGAGCTGACCTCAGCTCTCCTTAGAATAATCAACCACTGAAGATCAAACGGCAACATTTACCAAGGACAAAGTTCAGAGGGTTTGGAAAGGAAGAGGACTAGAACTAGGAAACACAAGGAGGACGTGGAACAGGTGACAGCACATTGAATGGATAGCAAAAGATGTAGTGAAACAACATGCGTATGAATGGATGAACTGCTGAATGTCAGGCTAATGGCTTGATCTATAAGCCTTCACCCAATCCACAATAAAATTTACAACAGCAGAACACGGGACGGGTGATTAGTCACTGATACTACATATAAGCTCACAACATTTTACCTCTATAGGTCTCATTTGTAGCAAGCAAGAAAATAAACATTTAAGAGTAAAACTAAAAAAAATCAAGGTAATTATTGTAGGTATACATTTTACTTACATGAGAAATATAAATCAGTCTATGACATTTTTGTAATGGCTATTGAATGTGGCCTTATCTATATTGAAAGCATCGTGAATGAATGAACTTCACCAGTGCCAACAGCAAAAGAGAAACTTTAAACTTACTTGTTACAGTCTCTTGTGACTGTGCATGGTTAACCACTACAAAATTTGACCTCAAAGGAGTTGAAATGTGGCCAACTGGTCGAACAACTTGTGCAGCTGGCAAAGGCGAGGCGGTAAACTGGCCTGAAATATAGGGCAATGTCAGCAACTCTGAGCTGACTCGAGGAGCTGCGTGAGATGCAAGCCTTTTCTGCCGTTTGATTTCTGCAATTCCGTTTCTTGTTCTGGCTGAAACACACGAACATTTAAAAATTAAGGGACTATCAGAGCACTTCAGAAATTTTAAGACTTTTAAATGATGTGTGTCATAATATTAACATGTTAAAACTATACATAGATATTTTAAAGTCCCCCCCCCCAAAATCACCTACAATAATTTCACAACATGAAATCCACAAAATTTTAACTACAAGAGTACATTTCTTCTGTTGTTTACACAGATGGTATTTCCAAAATAAAGAAACTTAAAAAGAACGAAAAGATAACACAAACACCACTGGGGAAGGTAGAAAGTATTTTAAGTGTCCGGTTTCTATTTAACTTATGAAAAACAGAATTTTAAACAAAAACATACCTAGGACACATGTATTGTTAATTAAAATATTCAGGGGAGAGTTAGTGATTCTGAACATTGTTTATAGTTAAAAGTTGAGTACCAACCTCTCTGACTGGCAGCAACCCCCGGGGAACTTTGCATACTCCTAACAAAACAAAGTGATTAATCGTTAAAAAAAATTGTTGTCATGATACGTGCTGTTCTAGTTACATTCAGACCAGAAGCAGAGTATAAAAGGCACTAGACCTTCATTAAACAAAACGATAAGTATATGAGGGATCCTCAAAAAGTTCATGGAAAAATGAAATCAATGGTAATGCTTCCAAGAAATTTTGGAAGTGCCTCATAGTTCTCTAGATAAGGAAATGTAATTTACTTTAGGGAAAAAAAAGTAGCTTTAGGCACAATGAAGCATGCACATGGTATTAATTTTAAATATGAGAGTTTTAATACACATTAGCATTGTCTTGACATATTATAAGAATAATACAATCTGTACTTAAGGAACAATGTATATTTAAAGTTACATGATGTATACGTTCCTCAAACGAGTCCATGCATTAAAAAAATACTTCCAACAATTCCAGCACTGATTTCTAAAGGCATCAAAATTTATTAAGATGAAAATTATTTTATTCAATCTCTAAAGGAAGAAGAAGGCAAGCATATAAAAAAATTCATAGTAAACATGGTAACTGTCCGTTTATCATGCACTGGAGTATCTTGTGTACTTGGTAATCAGTCAGACACTATGGTATTGTATATGGAAATCTGTTTAATCATTCCACCAAGAAAAGCCACAAAACTGACTCCATTGAATGAATCACTTTTAATAAGACATATGAACCAAAACTTAAGAAAACACAAAATCAATGTTTTAATAAAAGATATTAATTAACCAAACATATTCTCAAAGCTTGGAGAATACCTGGATAGGAACCTTCTCCTTCTATGTAACACTCTGTCAATAAAATAGATTAGTTAACTACAGGTACTGATGAAGTTGTGAATGTCTTTGAAGAGAACTTTCTTTCAAGGAGGTAACAGGCAAGGGTAAGGAAAAGGATCAAAGGTGGTGGTCTATGCTGTTGAGAATCCAATCCAGAGAGCTTGACAGAGTAGAACTGCCTATGGGGTTTCGTAGGTGGGCATCTTAATGGGCATATCGTCAGGTCACTTCTTCCGTGGAATAGCTGTTGGGCTCTAAGCACCTGTGGTAGTTAGTAACTTCATGTCAACTTGACAAAGAAAAGTGTTGGGGTGGAGTCTAGCCTGTCGATCAGGTCACAACCTGATGATGCCTCTTGGCTGGCGGGGCCTTCTCATGGGGAGGGTCCTGGGAACCTGCCCTCTCTGCCTTCACCTTCCTGTTTGGAGCCACGCATAAGCCCTGTGATTCAGCCACTCCCATTGGATTCAAACAACTCTGCACCCACCGGCCAGTGATCTTGCATTCTGCCTCACTGCACGCGGCTGTGTGAGTCTAAAGAGGGACTTATGGACTAGTATCGAACTTAAGCACTGGTATTGGACTTATGGACTTGGTCTGCACTGGGATGTTTTCTTGATATACAATTACTCCTTGATATAAGGCTCTTTCTTACACGAGCATTAACTGGATTTGTTTCTCAGATTAACACTACACCGTTCATTTAGCAGTTGAGCGCTTAACCACTGCACCACCAGGGGTCTTGGCATCAAAGTACAATGATGAAAGTAAATGTGGTCCAGAATTAAGTAAAGAACAGCCAGTTTAGTTAGTAGTTTAAGCAAAAAGAAAGAGGCCTCTGTTCAAAGTAAATAGGGCAGTCACTTGTAGCCCCGGTGAAAGAGAAGTCATGCTTTTCCTACCAGACAATGATCAAATGAGAGCTGATATAAAGTTGATACTAGCGTGGCTACCATCCTTCCAAGGATGCTGAACCTGGTATTTAAGACCATAATCTAGGGAGAAGCTGGATATTAGTGCTGTGCTAAAATCCTAGTTAGGGAATGAAAGACTCCAGAGGTAGTGTTAGTCTTTAAGCTTATTTTCTTTGACAGAAGAACAAAGGGGACATGGCTGCTTATCAAATCAACACACCAGCTCTTTAAACATGCAGTGACTAAGACATTGCCTAAAGTGATTCACACTAGTTAGGGTAAAGGAGATTTGTAATCTACCCTCAGATCTGCTTCTAAATTGAAATGGGAACCTGAGTGTCTCATGTCTACCAGTTTCTTGAAGTATGCAATTTACTTCAAATTATTCCAATCTAAGAAGTGATTTCAACTTGTATCAGTGTTACGTAAGTACGCAACGTTCAATGCAGGAAGATTTAAACCCAAAGAGGTTTTGATTTATATTTGCATTCTAAAATCATTAAATACATTCTGTTAAGTTTATTACATCATCAAGTTTACTACCTGATCTGAGAAAGTGTATGGTCTAACTTCTTCCACAGAGATGACATTATTGCTGGGACATCACTTGATGTTTCTAAAAGCACAAGGGGAAAAGAAACCTGAAGTTTATTTTAAATATTCAATTTAAACCTTCATACACTAAGGTGAGAATTGATCATTATTCAATTTGAACAAAGACAATATGGAAACGTGTTCTCGGTTATTAACATTATGTTGAGAACTGAGATGGCAATTTATAAAATGACCTGCAAAGTCAGGAGAAGGCAGCTGTCTCCCCAGGTCACTGGACATTCAGTACTGTCTGAAAGTAGGCATTTGCGAAGTTATCGCAAAATGATCATTTTGTATTTAAAAAGTCAACGATTTTTTAATCTGTTTGATTTTATATTATTTTAAAAATTTGAATTAATTTGCTTCAAAATAAATAATTACAATAATCGCCCTCATGGTTATGGAAACTACCAGTTTCCTAGATTACCCACATGTGACCTCTAAAAATAAGGCTCACCAGTTGCTTACGAGTAATTGGCAGAAGTTTTGCGAACTGATTACCCTTTTAGGGTAAGTGCAAAAACCACACTGATGGCAGACCAGTATCATATTATTTAAATCTTACCATATAATTTATAAAAGACTCAAGCTGGAGAAAGTTATCCAACATATAAGTGGAATATAAATTTTGAATTACAATAGTCTTTTATTTCTGATGTCATTTATACTCTATATATCTTTTTATGATTAAAATAGCAATAGTTCGAAAGAAAGAAAAGGGACATAAAGGTTAGATAATCATCTTAAAGAGTTACATTCAAATGAGATTCAGGTCCAGAACTTCTAGCATAATACATTCAATAGGCAACGAGTTTTGTGACCTGGGAAAAGTTATTCAGGTTCTTTCATGCTTGGCTTTGTCATATTTAATAACGGAGTCTAAAGAACACCTTTGTCATAGTTTCACAACTAAATGGGATAAATCATATGAGTAAACACAGATAATACATACAGAATCTACCAAATGATTATTAGGATCTATTATAATTTTTGCTAATTAATTTTAAAATGCTACTTATGCTAATGTTTTATGCTATTAAACAATCAATCAGTACTGGAGAATAAAATAACAACTCTCTCTAAAGCATCATTAAACCAGGCAAGTTTGCTTCTGTGTCAGGATAGAGAATCAATAATTTTATTTAGTGTCTTTTAAAAAATTCCTTATGAAGTGCATGAAGGTTTACAGAGCAGAACATTTCATCAGTTTTATATCGACCAATTCATAAAACACTTTGTCTTATCTCATTGTACCCTCAATATACTATCACTCAATCCCATTTCCTTCCTGTTTCCATTCTTCCTACCCTAAACCTTCGGAACTTTGTCCTTGGGTAAATGTTGCTTTTCTGATCTTAATGGTAGATCATCTAAGGTGTGTATGCTTCCCTACTGTGATAGACCTGTTGCTATAGTTTAGTTGAACTCTCAGTCACTGAGGTAAGTTAAGTTTCAGACTTGATGGATGCTTAAGGGTCAATCTTGGGGGTTCCACCAATCTCTGTCCAACCAGCAAGCCTGATCTTTTTGTTACTATTTAGAGTTTTCTCCCACTCTATCCTGGACCTCCTGAGACGGTCACAGTGGTGCCTGGGCACCATCTAGTTCTCCTCGGCTCAGGGTTGTGGGCACTGTTGTTTGCATGTCTGTTAGTCCATATTATCTTTCCTTTTCATCACATTTGTCCTCTGGACAAGGACAGACCTATAGTTACACACTATGTGGCTGCTCATAAGAAGGATATAGGTTTCCAAACTTATTTGGCCTAACACCCTATTTTAGAAAACAATGTACGCAATGTTTCCCAGCACTAAAAAAGTTCTGCACTATCTGTTCTTGCAGCCCCCTGGATCACTCTAGTAACCCCCAGTAGCCGGTATCACCCACGTTGGCAAGAGTGTTTTGCGATGTGTCTTTGTAATGTACTTTTAAAAAATGGTATCTTTTTGTTACATTTGCTAACATTCAGATTGTAACAACTTACTACACAAAACATTTAATTAGGTATTTCCATTTAAAATCATATCTCATAACAAACCAGTTTTTTCAAGGCTATGACAAGGAGACTTACTGTCCTATAAAAATTATTTCTAAGTACAATAAAACAGAGAAAAACACAACATTGACAATAAATTGTGTAAGTGGGGACTTCAAAAAGTTCATGGAGAAAGGGAACTGGAAAGGAAGGGCTTTTTCCATAAACTTTCGAAGCTCCACTGTATATGTAGAAATCCTTGAATTGGTTGTATATTCTGTGTATGTGTGGTAGTTACATAATTTTATGTCAACTTGATTAACAGAGTGAAGGGATGGTGATATAGTTTATTATGCCAGCCTGGCCGATAAATACAAGTAGGATTAACTGAAGGGCGGAGAGATAATGGCT